AGGGGAGTAAAGAGGTTTCTTCGGGGTCTGCAACGCGCGCGTAATACCTCTGGTATTGCAGGCGTTCATAGGCTACGGTAACCGCTTACCATCAGGTGGGCCGTATGCTTGTTTGCCACTTCAGTGGTATAAAAAAAACTAAAATATATTTGTTTGTTGTTCCTACCCCTACATACCTATTTATTACCCACTTCTGCTTCTTACAGTCAATTTTCACGAAAAATCTCACCGTATTGGTATTTCGATTGCGGCCTTTTCTTTCTTTCTTTCTAATTGAATTATATTAAAAATGTCCATTTCAATTAACCTTTACTAAACAAGCAAATAAATCCATCCGAAGGATATACGACTCGACGAATTGCCTTATTTGACTGCGTTGCGTCACCCAGGGTTGCCAGGTTAGGTGTTTTTTTCGCAATTTTATGTAAAATTTTTTCTTTGCGCGAAACTTTAGAGAAATATATGTATATACATAATTGTAATAAAATATATAACTGAAGGTACATAAAGGAAATAGAAGAAGAGGGAAAAATAGAATGACCTTTTTTCCATTGTTCATTTTGTGGCACATAGCAAAATGTAGTAAAAAACGATACAACTTTGTGATTGGCTAAAAGTTCTGAAAATCATACCGACTTGGAGAATAAATATTTGACGTTTGTGGTAAAAATGAAAATACGCATCCGACAACCCTGACATCACGTCGCCTCCGCGCCATCTAATGATGACAAATGTTATGGAATTAGTTAAAACAATTTGTTACAGTTTGCTAGTCAATCACAAATGTATTTACTCCTTTATACGACTCAGCGCTGCTCTTTGTGCGATCTCTCCGTAACTAATTGTGTATATTTATATTTCAATAATAATCTACATATAATATATATTTTAGCTGATGCGAGCACGTCTTCGTCACTCTTTCGAACTGATCTTAATACTTCCTGAGTCCTCAGGAATGGCAACGCATGGGGGGTATCATGGACGAAACAGTATACTCTGTTATGTCCATATAGTCCATATGGTAATGTTTTAAAAGGGAACAGCGTCCCTATCGCCCATACCTTGACACAATGAGAAAGGAATTAGGAAGGTATTTTGAGCCTAATTCTATTTCTAATTAATTTTACACGAATAAAAAACATTTTTTTATTTAATTATTTATGATTATTGTATTTCTCATAAATAAATAAGCCTAGTCATTAAATCTACTGCTTTATTAGTACAATAATATATATACATATCTTGTAAGTGGCGCAACCTGGTGCAAATGCAACAAAACACGAAGTTGCCCTGCATTTTATTGCTAATACATTATTTCAATGCTGTAGCTCTACTATGCATGTGATCGCTATGATTCTATTAATGGTAGCTAGATGCCACTGCTGTGCTCCTTTTTGTGGATGAAAATGGAACAGTAACCCCGTCTGCACATTAGCGTATTTCCAGGGAATCACGTGGAGATCAACCTGATTGTGTACACTTCTAGAAATGGAGACGCTAGTCCCCATTACAATCATCCGACATCCATAACCAATTTCCAAATTTTTTTATATATCAATAGAATTTGAAGATTATTTTTATACTACTTAGAATGGCAAACAAGCTGACGGTCCACCTGATGGAAAGTGGTAACCGTCGTCTATAGACATGAGCAGTGTCATGGACATAACAGAGCATACTGTTTCGCCCATGATACCCCCATGCGTTGCCATTCCTGAGGGCTCAGATGTTATTCCTCTGTACCCTGTAAATTCATGCCATATCCCACCCTTCAAATCGAAACACAGCCATGCAAACACAACTGCTTCACGGTTGTAACACGAATGGGACAGAGGTACCCAAGCAAACGATTTTTGCACAAAATCTCCTCTGGTGTAAAGAATGGTTTGTTAGTAATGGAATAATAATAGAAATTTTATCAAAAACGAATCAGTAATTTAATTGTGAAATTTCTTTGAAAAATCTTAGTATCCGAGACTAGTATTTTCGTGTCACTGATCATTATTCTATATTTCTTTCAAATATTATAATAAAAATACAAACGTTAAGCTGTTATTTTCAGCTTAACGTTTGTATTTTTACATTATTTCATGATAACCAACAACAGTAATTTCTTTTCCGAGTTCATTGAACAATTAGGTTGGTTGTCGATGAATTAAATCCAATACAAATAAAGGGGCAGACGCGCGTAGGTAGCCATGCTATTTTTTAATTGAATAAATTTATAACCACAGATAATATAAACAGTATTATACTCGCAATCAAGTTTAGCTTGAAAAACATTCTCTCTCTTTTCATTTAAGAGTTTCCTCTTGTCGGTGCAACTAATTCATGCATCTTCTTCCAGCCAGCTCTATCCCAGGCCATATCCTTGATCTCCCTATACGACGAGACACCTAGTGTTTCTTTTATCTGTCCCATGTAGTTATGAAATACGTTATCGAATAAAATTTCGAAATAAAACAATTAAAAGAGGCTTTATACACGATTTCACATATTTCGAATTCCCTTTCTGTGCCGTGATTAAGGGAAGTTAATAGTCGAGGAATGGACAGCAGCGTCACTCTCTTAACATCACCAAAAGCTTAATTGCGGTTGCTATAGGGGGAAAGGGATTGTTAGTAATGGAGACTGAGAATCCTATTGCTAGCAATATACCCAACCAGGTCGACCTCCTCGCGGTTCCCCCTGGAAACTAACATGGTTAATTCCTGATAAATTCATCATGATGGGCTAACTGGCCTGTTTTCATTCTCATCTATCACCCTTCACTGGTGCTCCGCCAGCGTATACCGTTAGCGCAGGCGGGGCTACCATACTATTTTTACCCATAAAAAAAAAATTGCGGTTGCTAATCCGTCTGCCAAACGTGACAACTACTGGCAAAACGCCTCTTATAGGGGAGTCCTACCTTCAGCAGTGAACGGCGGAATGGCCGATATGATGACATATCCCGAAGAACGACGACATGTTTTGTAAACCCATTACTATAAAAAATATTTAAATTCGCGTGTCTTGTAAATAGTCGTGAAATAGGAAATTTTGCTACGCAACAGTTTTTTGCTCCGCAAAGAAGAATTGCAGCTTCTATCGTTACAAAATTAATAAATGATCAACACAGGATTTTATTAAGGGTGAAAATGGAATGATAACTCCGCCTGCGCTATCGGTATACCTTGTCAGGGCACCAATGGTAGAATATAGTTGAGAATGAAAGCAAGTTAGTTGGTCAATCGTGACGAATCCAAGAGTTAAGCACTATGGTTTCTAGGGAGAACCGTGTGGAGGTCAACTTGAGAGGTTATAGAGTATATTGCTAGCAATGGGATTACCAATGCCCATTACTAACAGTCCTTTCTCATCCCAGTAAAACAGAAGTACCCATGCAGATGGCATGGACATCTCTGTACCACTCATGTTTCTGCCGTAGAGCAGCTGTTAATATTCCTTCTATACACGCGAGCAGATAAAATTATCATACATACATACATACATATCTGTCACGCCTATCTCCCATTAGGGTAGGCAGAAATAATGGAACGTCAAATGCTTCGATTCCAATAAAATTATCTTGTGTAAATTTTGAGAATATGTTCTATGTGTGTACCAAATTGCATTCAAATATGTTCAGCCGTTAATGCGCGATTGGGTGACCAATATAGCATTAAGATAAAACATACACCAGTCCAGATTTAAAATTAGACCTTTGGGACTACAATTGTAAAAATTGTATATATTTTGGTGTAGTAGTTTTCGCATTATACCGGAAAAAACATACAGACAAACAAAATCATTAAAAAAAAATTATTGTTTTTAGTATCTATTGCTCTTAATTTTTCTTAAATATCTGTCATGTACAGATATAATCTAGTTACCATTTTATCAAATTAATAAGAAAAACTTGTGGCAGGGCACACTACACTACACCTGAAGTGATCATGACAACACCCGTTTCCATGAAAACCGAGTTTTTCAGGCGGCGATAACTGTAGACAAAGCGTCGCCGGTACTAGGCTTTCAGAAGACATTAGGAAATGTTTTTACTGAAATTCAGTTGCAGTAGCCGAAACCACCTGTTCGAGGGGCGGAGTTGTAAGAAGGAAACGTTTGTATTATTATTCTCAGTGATACTGCTCTATTCTCGTCTCGTCAGAACAGACGACTCGTCTCCATGCGTTTCAGACTTAAAGTAATCATAACAAAAACTACATAAATTTACTTAAAAAAAAAAAACATTTACAAATAATACTTAATTTGTTTTTATATTTTTTCCTCGGTGGCTTTTAAAGAACAGAAAAAAGACTGTTTCATGAATAAAAATAAAAAAGCCTTTATCATATTTCCACAAATGTAATTGTTCAAAATAAAACTTTACTCGCCTTATAATAAAACAGATTGTTTACAATATTGGAGTCCGTCAATATTGTTTTCCTTCCACCTTAGTTTAAAAAAAAATTATCGACTAAACGGAGACGTGTGCGCGGGCGCTTGTTCCTGTAATATATGTTATTGTGTTTTTTAAACTGTATGTGGCCTGAAGGACCTGTAAGAATGTGTGTGTGCGTGCATATACGGTTTGAGGAAGATCTGTCGACCAGAACAGCAGAGAGAAGTCACAAGGCCAATGCCAGACTGACAGATTTTTTCCTTATAAGACGCTTCCATAGAGGTGTTTTACCTTAAAGTAATAATATATATACCGTCATATTAGTTTTTAATTGTCCACTGCTGAACATCGCCTCCCCCTTGGGGGGTTTTGCCAGTAGTTGCCACGCTTGGCATGTAGATTGACAACCGCGGTTAGGTTTTACAGATGTTTTGAATTGCCCATACCTCGCTCTCCCTTAGTCGCCTCTTATGACACCTACGAAAAAGAAAGAGTTGGCCTGTTCTATGCTGGGACCACACGGCGATACACACACATATATATATTATAGAAATTATATATATATATATATTGAATGTTAGACATGAAAACTAGTTTGTTTTTTTAATACAAGCCCCACCGAATGGGGACAAAAAATTTCAAAGACTCATTTGAGTGTTCCCGTCCACGGAAATCTTTAGTAAAAGGCGAAAGATTTATCCGTTGTTGAAGGGAAACCAGAGTTAAAGTGAATAGTCCGAGCACAGTATATATTGCTCTGCTGTGACGAAACCATAGCCTGTTTTATAATTATACAGAGCCATCTAGTGGTTAAATAATGAAACATAATTCAATTGTGGTAACACCAATTTTCATTTAAAAACTGAACCTATTTGTAAGTGTATTATTTCATATAAAAAAGGAATTATCCAAATCGATTTACAACTGATGGAGTTATGGAGTAACAAAAATGTAAAAAAATTCAACCAAATTGAGAACCTCCTTCTTTTGAAATCATAGTGACTTCAAATGTATTGAAGTTTTGAGTACTATAGTCTGTTTTTGTTTTGTAGAACGCAATCAGTTAAGATCATTAACTTAATCAATTTTGATACAACAAAAAAAAAAAACACTAGGCTATTTAGCGAAAATTAACTCGAGAGATTTTTAAAATTGATCACTGTCAGTCTGTTATAGTTGATGGACACATTAGCCCACTCCACTCTACCGACTCGTTCCCACTTGTGGAATGTTAGTACGTTGTCACAGCACAATAATCATGAATGAATAAACAGTACTAATCAGTGTTAGTGCAATCAATGTTTTTATATCTAAGTACCTATAATAGTTAAAAGTGTGTACTTACTATGTATGTACATTACATAGTTCATTAAACTTATACATGTGTGTTACTAGGTATTAAATAAGTGTAACGAATTGCGCCACCCTCCACGCGACCACGTGCTCTACCCTACGCAAGTCCCCTCTCGCATGCATACTGCTCATATGTGGTTATAACCTCCTCGGCATTTCGGCTTGCCTAGTACATGTGTGACTCCGAAAACTCACATGACTTCAACGACAATAACACCACACTATATGGTGGTAGGTGCACACGTGTGGTGATGCTTTGTATAATTTTCCTGCTTCATTTGTGTGTATTATATTATGTTAGTGAGTTTACGTAGTTTTAGAAGTAGACAAGTGGATTGATGAGTGTGTGAGTATCACACACAAAGTAATTAGTATTGAGTATTGAGTATCACTGTAAGTAGATAATATTATACTGTTTACATTCGTGTGTACACATTACCGTACCTATGAACTAGCCTCCAGAAATATAAATTAATATTTTTAGCTTTATTTTAAAATATCGATTATTTAACGATCACTCTCACTCTATTCACGCATACAAAGAGTAAAAAATGGAATAGGTTGTATCTGCATAGGATATAATTATAAATATATAATATATTTTTGTGTGCCAACCACACACACTACAGACAGACATCGAAATGAGCATACAACTCTAATATTGCATCTACGTATACAAAACTCCATATGCCGGCTATAGTACGTTCCTATTCACATCACATGTGTGAAGTTGTACACAGCATATCTTTTTATTTATGTCACTCTGGTAGGGCCGGGAGTTTGGGACATCATATGACGACATTCATTTTCTGATGTGAATGACATATGGACGGATATTTTAAATCAATAAAGCGTAGCGGTTTTTTGTATTAATTGCCGCATGCATTCTTATGTAAAATGTGAATACTATAACTATCAGATGGCAATTGTGAGTAGCTTTGACGTGGTCTAGTGTTTTGAGTAGTCATGCTCACTAAAATGTCCAGACTTGTGGCGGCGTGGTGGGCCGGGTCATTGGGCTCCCTAAAATATGGTCGAGCGCAGTGATGGCTGGCTCATCCGTCATACTCGTGAACGGGTGCTGCTTGTAGGGACTGGTCTGCTCTAATCACTATGACTGATTTCCTCTTATTAATTGTTTAACCAGTTGGTTATGTATTCAATATTTTTTTTTCTTTTTGAGTATTTAATTGAATTAGTGCTAATTGGTGGTTTGTATTCACACAATTAAACTTGAAAATGTAAAGTAATAATAAAATTATTTAAAAGAGCAACACGCAAGTTTCTTGCTCGTTCTTTTTGTGATGAGACAGCTTTCCGAACGAGCGGTAGATTAAAAAAAAATGTAATGACTTTTCAAAAGTGCTTCAATGTAAGTTTATTTGAATAAATGATTTCTATTCTATTCTATTCAATGTTAAAGTGAGTTTGTTTGTTTATTGCCTTATAGCGTCTTAACGGCTTAACCAATTATTATGAAATTTAGTGTACACGTACTACGTGGGATGGAGGTGGCTACTTATTTTAATCCCACTTTTTATCTCATTCAGAAGACATACCCCGGTCACACGGACGAAATCTCAGATAATATAGCTAGTAAATCCGTTCCGTTAATTTTTTCGACGAGAAATTGTTCGGATTTGTACCTGCTGTTAATTTTCACTGTACAACCCACCACAAACTAAAGTTTCATCCCAACCATCTGGATAAGTGGCGGTTCTCTACCGTGAGTTTTTCAAGGCACTTTCTTCCACACACAACCACTCTTTGAAATCAACTTCCAGCAGAAGTATTTCCGAACCGATACGATATCAACTTTCAAGAAAAGAGGAATAGCAACGCTTGAGGGCTATCATGGGCGGCACAGTACACTCTGTTATATCCATGATACTGCTCATGTCTACAGGCGACGGTTTTCACTTTCCATCAGGTGGGCCGTCAGTATGTTTGCCATTCTAATTTGCATAAATAAAATCTGTACAGAACAAGGTGTATTTATGTCTCAAATTACCATTTTAAGGTACTTAAAAAACCGACCGATTCTGAGACGACGTTTCTTTAAACCCATCTCTAAAATTAAAATTTCAATTTGATATTACAACGAAATATTTATTGTAAGGACTAATATAAACTAATTTTCTAATAGGTTTAAGTCAACATTAATAGAATTTTATTTATTTATTTAATACTTTATTGTACACAATAATTATACATATAGCTAATCAAATGTACAAGGGCGAGTTTAACTCTAAAAGAGTTCTCTTCCAGCAACACCCAAAGTCATCAATCAAGAGCATCAATGTCAGCGGATAGAGCGGTGTACAATATTTTATATATTTTAATTAATGATGTATAAAACATAAATTTCGCGAAATTACCAAATTAAAATATTGGGTTAAGGGACAGCTTTAGAGAAATAGCGACACAATGCAAAAACTTTTTCTCTTTAAAAATAAAAATATCTTTCAATTCTTTATTTACAAATTATTTGAATGCAGTATAAAGACACAAAGTTGTACTACATCTGATATGCAAAGAATTATTATACACCAAGCGAGTCCTATTTAATGCGGAACATTATTGCTGTACGTATGTATTGCTGTATGTAATTTGATGAAATTATTTCTTATAGAAGTAACAAAATAGAAGTAATAAAAGTAACATTGCCTTTTAACTTATTTGTAGGTCTCAAACAGACAACCTTTCTATAATTTACTGCTGATATCCCGGGCATACTCCCTCCAGTGTAACAACCATAGCTAGTTTAAAATATAAAAAATATATTCATACTATTACTCTATCTACATGATCAAAAGAAATCCCTGATTTCTTATATGTCTCTATGTTAACAACATTTTTGTCTCATGCTTATTTTTTTATGCAACTTAGAATGATAGACAAGCTGACGGCCCACCTGAAATAAAAAAAAAACGTCGTCTAAAAATATGAACAGTACCATGGACATAACAGAGTATACTATGCCATCCATGATACCCCTCACGTGTTGCTATTCCTGAGGACTAAGGTATTATTTCTCTGTACTCTGTAATTTCACTGCTTTATGTTACCCTTCAAACCAAAACACAGCCATGCAAACACAACTGCTTCGACATAAACTCCAATGGGACAGAAGTACCCAAGCAGTCGACTTTTGTATAAAGTCTCCTATTAGTTATATGGTTTATATATGATTTATACTTACACTACATTAACAATTAAAAATTGAGAGATATTTTTCAGGCATGTAACAATGTTATTAATTTTAAAAATTTTAACCGTCCTGATTCTTTTTTTTTATATATTTCCAGACGAAAATAAAATATATGACAAATTATTTTCTCTAAATAATTTGCTATCCTAAACTTAACGTATCTAAACCAGAGACTGTCTATATATGTAGGTACTCTGTCAAAAATATACTATCCTTAATCTATGGTCGAAACCCTTGGCCGCGCTGTGCGTTCCCAATCCGCCCAAATCTCAGGTCCAAACGTGTCAAAATGTCGTCAGGGCGCCGCCTACATTCTATTGTTTTAGACGTCAAATACCAGGAAGAAATAAATGTAGAGAAGTCTATTTTGAACAGGAAGCACTAGAGTGGGGATGTCGTGATTTGGCTTTTTCCAAAAGGGTTAAGTACTTACGAAAAAGTTGGTACTTATTACATTAATTTCAATACTCATTACTTATATGCTAAATGTTAACCTGTAGATATCGGTTACCGATTTTAAACAGACCAGTATCAAAATTGCTAAATACAGTGAGTTAAACTTTAATACAATATTTAGTGCCAAAGATCCGGTCCTATTTACAACAGAAAAATATATACGCATGATAAACTTAATTATTTGTTATTATGGTGAACTAAGGATCATAATCAAAGTAACCAATTCTAAATAGCAGCACTACACAGCATGCCGCGTTCCTCCCTCACACCAGATTTGGCACTCACCCTCTAAAAATAGACCCCCCTAACAATATGCACACACACGCTACTGGTAATAAAGTTTCCTTTACAAGTTACTTGTTTTTAGCTCACACTATCCAGCGACATAGTCCACGTCAATTACGGTATTAACTCAACTTAGAATGGCAAACAAGCTGACGGTCCACCTGATGGAAAGTGGTAACCGTCGCCTATAGACATAAGTAGTACCACGGACATAACAGAGTATACTGTTTCGCTCATGATACCCCTCATGCGTTGCCATTCCTGAGGACTCAGGTGTTATTCCTCTGTACCCAGTAAATTCACGCCATATTCCACCCTTCAAACCGAAACACAGCCATGCAAACACAACTGCTTCACGGTTGAAACACGAATAGGACAGAGGTACCCAAGCAATCGACTTTTGTACAAAGTCTCCCTCTGATTTATATCACAATATTTGACATAAAATACACTTAAATAAATCATCATCATCATTAACCGTTAACTGATCACTTATAAACATAGGCCTCCCTCATAAAGGTGAGTTTTGCCAATAGTTGGCACACTTGGTAGGCGAATTGGCAACTATAGTTAGGCTTTGGTGATGTTTTAAGAGGGGCGCTGCTGTTCATTCCTTGACCATTAAGTTCCCATACGACACCCACGGGAAAGGATTTGGTGGCCCATTTTATGCCGGGACTACACGGCAATGTTCAGATAACGTCAAACTTAATTCGTATATCCCATTCATGACCATTTTTTTTTTTTGATGGATGAAAATGGTATTATAAAGCCTGCGCTAACGGGATACGCTGGCGGAGCACCAATGAACGGTGATGAGAATGAAAACAGGCCAGTTAGCCTATCATGATGAATTCATCAAGAATTAACCATGTAGTTTCCAGGGAGAACCGCGAGGAGGTCGACCTGATAGGGTATATTGCTAATAATGGGGTTGTTAGACCCCATTACTAACAATCCTTTCCCCTCCACGAATAATATTTTTTATTCAAGTAAACTAATTTACAAGCATTTTTGAATTTTGGGGTTCTAACAACCCCATTGTTAGCAATATAAAGTTGATCTCCATGCGGTTCATACTAGAAGTCAGCGTGGTTTTTTTTTGATGGGTGAAAATGGAATGGTAACTCCGCCTGCGCTAACGGGATACGCTGGCGCAGCACCAGTGAAGGGTGATTGATGAGAATGAAAACAGGCCAGTTAGTCCATCATGATAAATTCATCAGAAATCAACCATGATAGTTTCCAGGGGGAACAGCGAGGAGGTCGACTTGGTTGGGTATATTGCTAGCAATGGGATTCTCAGTCTCCATCACTAACAATCCCTTTTCCCTCAGTCACCGTTGTTAATTCTTGTGGAATTCGTCACTGTGGGTCAATTGATCCGCTTTTATATTGATTTGTCATCTCGCAGTGGTGCTTCGCCAGCATACTGGTATACCGATAGCGTCAAAGATTGCGTCCCGCAAAAAATCTATTATTTTGAATTAAAAGCTAAACTACGGAACCGATTTTGATAAAATTTCCATAGAACCAATATGTAAGTATACCCTTACAGATAAAAAAGATTTTTCTAAATCGGTTTGGACCTAACGGAGTTATGAGGTAACAAATGTAAAAAAATACAACCAAATTGAAATACCTTTCTGCGCTAGATTACCCGCCAATCAATTTTCTCTTCAACTACATTGGCTTGGCTGGTGGAGATCTCTTTTAGAGATAAGCTCTCCCTTGCTAACAGGTTGTTAAACTAATCGCTGTATCTATTGTTCAAGTGCAATAAAGAATATATAATGTAGTGATTACTTGCTATGTGCATATACCTGTAACAGCAATAGTTTTGTTCAGAACATTTGCTATTTACTTTTAAAAGGAACGGCTGGTGGCTGTGACTTTAAATAAAGATTTTTATTATAATACCCTATAAAGTCACCCTATCACGCCGGATCAGTGATTAATACTCTACAAATCGCAAATCCGGCCCCACATGGAGTATTGCTGTCACTTATTGGCCGGAGCACCTAAATACCAGCTTGAACCTTTTGACTCGTTGCAACGATGAGCTATGAGAATTGTCGATGATCCCAGGCTCACAAACAGTATCGAACCCTTAAGTCTTAGGAGAGATTTTGCCTCACTCTGCGTGTTCTACCGCCTTTACAATGGATTGTGCTCAGAAGAATTGTTCAATATGTTGCCCACGGCCACTTTCTACCATCGTACGGCTCGCCATCGACAGGGAGTTCATCCTCATGTCCTACAGCCTCAATGGTCGCGTACTGCACGGTTTCGGAGATGTTTCCTCCCACGAACACTCAGGTTGTGGAATGAGCTCCCTGCCGAGATTTTCCCAAGAGACTACAGCATGGGGTTCTTCAAAAGGGGGGTAAAGAGGTTTCTTCAGGGTCGGCAACGCACGCGTAATACCTCTGGTATTGCAGGTGTTCATAGGCTACGGTAACCATTTACCATCAGGTGGGCCGTATGCTTGTTTGCCACCTCAGTGGTATTGAAAAAAAAGTAGAAAATGAATCCATTATGTAAAATATGTGCTCTTGGTGATTTCATCGCTTTGTAAATTATTTATATTACTTTCAACCTGTCTACCTGTTTTAAACCTTGTCAGCATCCATTGTTTTACATATAGTGTGAAATCGAACTCGTTTTTTCACTTTTAATGGATTATTGTAATTATGAAACGAAATTTGATAATTTTTCTCCAAAAAAATGGCAAATTCCATTTGTCCCTACTAACGTATCTCTATTAGGGGGGTAAGAGTTGGCTCGTCATACTTTTTTTATGGATGATAATGGAATGGTAATCCCACCCGCGCTATCGGTTTACACCGGCGGGGCGCCAGTGAAGGATGATAGGTGAGGATGAAGTAGGTCAGTTAGCCCATCGTGACGAATTCAATAAGAATTGTTCACGATGGTTTCCAGGGGGAACCACGTGGAGGTCGACCTAATAGGGCATATTGATAGCAATGGGGCAGTCAAACTCCATTGTTAACAATCCCTTTCCCCCCGGCTCGTCATACTTGGGACAATAATTTTGAATCCTCGATATTAATATGGTGAGTTCAACTATGAATTTATGAGAGACTCAAAAACTTTTGTTTTATTATTGCCCCTTTTTTTTTATTTTCCCTTACAAAACATTTCCCTCAAATTATGCAAAGTTTTTAAGTACTTATAATTTTTGTAAGTACATATAATAATAGGCACTATATATATGTATATTCATTCTTCTTAAAATGTATGTTTTTTTTATACAACTTAGAATGGCAAACAAGCTGACGACCCACCTGATGGAAAGTGGTAACCGTCGCCTATAGATATAAACAGTACCATGGACATGATACCCCCCGTGCGTTGCCATTCCTGAGGACTCAGGTGTTATTCCTCTGTACCCTGTAAATTCACGCCATATCCCACCCTTCAAACCGAAACACAGCCATGCAAATATAACTGCTTTACGGTTGAAACACGAATGGGACAGAGGTACCAAAGCAATCTACATTTGTACAAAGTCTCCCTCTGGTAAATATCCTCTAAAATATTTGCTTTATTTGTAAATTAATTTAGTCCAATACACCGCAATTTACTCTCTGTTTAGCGTAACGATTGACTGGTAGAGAATGTCATCAGACATTAAGTCCACTTATACCACATAAACAGTTATCAGTACTCAAGAAAGCCTATGTTCATTTCTGTAAGCATGTACATATATAGTAACACAAATCCTGTTTCCTACAGAACAGGCTTAGCCTAGTGTGGGAATCAATGATAAATTCTGTGTTTATAGCTACATAGTTTGTTAAATAAATACATCTTTTTTTTTTATTTGTATACATATTTAAATGTGTGCAAAAGAATAAATTAATAACGATATCGATTATACTGTATATTAAAAATTAATTCCTCTTTTTTCAGGTGCACAGCTTCCCAAATACATACACGTTTCTCAAATACGAACACGACATGCAGCGGCGCGCCCCGGCCGCCGCGCACACTTCCACGCTCACCAAAGATAGAAGGGTGAGTCACTCGCACCCACCGCTTCGTGCACCGCATGCATTCTATGTTGCCCTGGTAATTTTTAACCGGTATACACGTGGTCTTTTTCAATTCCGTCGCACTCGACCCACAATGTGCCACCTGCCCCAGATTTCCTTTGTTGCTATTAGTAACTGAACAGGGGAAGGGCCGACGGCAGTGTTACCAGATCGTGTAATTTTTCGCATGTTTGGTTAAAAAATATTCGGTTTGCGAAATGTTTAAAAAAAAATTAATTCTTGGAGAAAAGTGAAAAAAAGTTTTGGAGAAATATGGGTATATTTTTAATAGTTTTGGTAACTGTATTTATATATATAAATGTAACAAATATACCAATGAAAGTAATAAAAGAGACGAGAAGACATGGTTTTTTCGTCGCTCACTTTGTGACAAAACAAGTTTTGTGAACGGAAATCTTATCGATTTGGAGAAAATTACACATTTTTTTTTTAATGATGAGTGAGGGATGATAGGTGAATAATGAAAAAAGCAGGTCAGTCAGCCCATCGTGATGAATACACCTGGAACTCAGCACGATGGTTTTCTGAGGGAACCGCGTGGAGGTCGACCTGACAGGGTATATTGCTAGCAATGGGACTGGTAGCCTGCATTACTAACGATCCCTTCTCCCCAAAATTATACATTTGGATAAAAATTAATAATAGCATGTGGTAACCCTGGCAGATGGGATAATTTTTTTTTTATTTAACGAGGTGTCGTGTGACACGAAACGTTTGTTAATGTGTCTAATAACTGCTTTATCATTGTAGGACATTCCTTCGAGTGATAAGAATTAAATTCCGTAGTAATTTTTTTGCTATTTTTCTATAGTAGATAGTAGGTACTTTTTTTATGCAACTTAGAATGGCAAACAAGCTGACGTCCCACCTGATGGAAAGTGGTAACCGTCGCCTATAGACATGAGCAGTACCATGGACATAACAAAGTATACTGTTTCACCCATGATACCCCCCATGCGTTGCCATTCCTGAGTACTCAGATGCTATTCCTCTGTACCCAGTAAATTCACGCCATATCCCACCCTTCAAACCGAAACGCAGCCATGCAAACACAACTGCTTCACGGTTGAAACACTAATGGGACAGAGGTACGCAAGCAATCGACTTTTGTACAAAGTCTCCCTCTGGTATTACCAAATATTACTAATATTGTGCATGAATGGTAATTAAATTACTATTGAAGGTTTTAAACTAATTCATATTTATCTACTTTCAGTTTCAATCGTTATTATTAAAATACTCTTTGAAGGAAGCGTTCTACAGTTGTACTAGCGAAATGTAATAAGTATTTTTCCCAAAGAAAAATTAAAAAATCTTTTAGTTTCATTAGAAGAGAAGTTCGTTAAAAGTTACAAATTACGCAGAATTGCATTTTTAATATTTACTAGCTGGGGGGGGGGGAAAGCGATTGTTAGTAATGGCGACTGAGAATCCCATTACTAGCAATATACCCAACCAGGTCGACCTCCTCGCGGTTCCCCCTGGAAACTATCATGGTTAATTCCTGATGAATTCATCATGATGGGCTAACTGGCCTGTTTTCATTCTCATCTATCACCCTTCACTGGTGCTCCGCCAGCGTATCCCGTTAGCGCAGGCGGGGTTACCATACCATTTTCACCCATCAAAAAAAAAAAATTACTAGCTGTTGCCCCCGACTTCGTCGGCGTTTCCGTCGTTTTTCGTAAAATAAGTAGCCTATGTCCCTCCTCACGGTTCAGCGGTTTTGATGTAACAGACACATTTCCCTTCACTGCTCCGCTCCTATTGATCGTAGCGTGATGAAAAGTATACTATAACCTGCCCACGAGTATGAAGAATAATTGTACCAAGTTTCGTTAAAATCCGTCGAGTAGTTTTTGTTTCTGTAACGAACATACAGACAGACAGACAAAAATTTTACTGATTGCATTTTTGGCATCAGTATCGATCACTAATCACCCCCTGTTAGTTATTTTGTAAATATATTTCATGTACAGAATTGACCTCTCTACAGATTTATTATAAGCATAGATTATATATTTTATATACTATTTTTTTCCTATCAATGTATTATGTGTATTATTATAATTTTCTATTTTTGGTTTTTTGCAATTTTTATAATATTATTATATTTATATTTTAATAATTATATAATAATTATATTCCATTCCATTATCAATTAATATAAATTAATTGATAATGGAATGGTAACCCCACCCGCGCTATCGGTATACGAGTACATCGGCGGGGCACTAGTGTAGGATGAAGCAGGTCAGTTAGCCCATCGTGACGAATTCAACAAGAATTGTTCACGATGGTTTCCAGGGGGAACCACGTGGAGGTCGACCTAATAGGGCAAAAGGGGGAAAGGGATTGTTAGCAATGGAGTTCGACAGCAATACATAATCTATTTGAACATGATATAGGTCAGTGTATATATATATATATATATATATATATATATATATATATATATATATATATAAATCTTGGAGGCAATCTTGCGTCTTATATGGGCGAATTTACCAATGATACTGCGTCCTACTGACTTATTGCGTCCGTATACCGGACGCAAGATTGATCTTTATGCCACAGACTCCTTATTGTTAGTATAACGTTTTACCAAAAAATTGGCATGGACGCTATTTGGTCACCTTATTGTAATTCGGCGTATTTTTTAGTTCCGCGGTTTGTCGCACAACATTTGGAGGGCGATACTGTGCGCCGTATATCGGCGCATCGTATATACAACTTTTTTTCCATACATTACTCCGCGAATGCTACTACCGTATACTATAGGCAATTTTCAAGTTTTTATCTGTCTACATTCATTATTTAATTGCTTCCGTTGGTAAAGTATATATGGGAACGTATGACAAGGAGTAGAGATGGAGGGGGAGGGGGTAGCTGTTTTAATTCGCGCGTTTTAATGTTTATTTATTTAAGAGCGGTGTGGCATATGGTCATTTAGCGTCCTTTATGAGCGGACGCTGCAAAGGTTATATACGTGAGTTTAGTGAATATCAGGAGTGAATATTGGAAACGAAAATGAAAAGGAGTATGAGAATTTTACAATTATTGAAAGGTAAGTACCTAATATTTATATTAGTAAGTATACCTTATGTTAGAAAATTAAAGGAAATTTTAAGGACATAATCTTACGTCCCTACCTACATACGTTGATAATTTAGTTATCTTAAACATACAATAAAATCAAGTCAGTTGCAGTAGTCGATTCGTCGTTATAAATCGCACGACCTCATCATGATCATTGTTATTGATGTAGACAGATTTTTTAATAGAAATGACTTCAAAAGTTATTATAAACATTGTCTACTGTGGCCGTGGTATTCCACTCATTTTGTGTTAAATAAAACATGTTGTGTTTGTGACACAAAAATTGCAAAAGATCTTGATTCGATTCCAAATCATTTTGTTTTATCTATGAATCGTGATGATATACTAAAGCTGTGTAATAGTTCCTTCTTTTGGTGTAATATTTGTCAATATGCAATTTACGATCACTACCCAGAAGACGAATGTTTTTGTACTTAAAAAGGTTACCTAACATATTTTATTTATAATCGCAGAAATAATAGACATTCTTAGCATATTAAATATATTTTTGTGTTATTTAGTTATGTACTATTGCCTAATTTGATTTCGACGGTTACCACTTTCCATCAGGTGGGCCATCTCATCAGCTTGTTTGCCGTTCTAAGTTGTATAAAAAAAATTGTTTTTTTTATTCACATTTCAGAAATGTCTGACTAAATTAATTACAATTCGGGAACAGATTCCAACTACACTGTGTCAGCACATGACGTAAGTAGACAATTTTTTTTTAATTTACCAGAGGGAGACTTTGTACAAAAGTCGATTGCTTGGGTACCTTTGTCCCATTCGTGTTTCAACCGTGAAGCAGTTGTGTTTGCATGGCTGTGTTTCGGTTTGAAGGGTGGGATGGATGGGTGGTGGAAAAAAAAAATTGATTTTTTAATACTTTTCAATTTGATTTTTCTATATTTTGTTATATCAGTCCTAATTCATCTAAGAAATATAATCTTAATATGAAATTATTTTTTATTTTCATACTAATTTTATTTATGTGAAAAACTCAACAAATGCTTTCTTGTTTCGACTACATTTATAGAAGTATATTGTTCAATGTCATCAGTATTATCAGTACTGTACTGTACATTGTTCTATAAGCCATGTATAATTATTTCATCATTTGTTCTTTTATAAAAGAAACAATGTTCAATGTTAAATACTTTATTCTTATATTAAAAATATCATTGATTTCTACTTTATATTACGTTTCTCAAAAAAATCATAATGATTAAATACATTAAATTTTTGCATGCATTTATGAATTAAAAATTAAAATGTATTTTTTGCAGACTAGCTCTGATGAATCATTCATACAAGAGAATATGAACTGTCCCGTCATATTAGAAAGAAACATCCAAGAATCAACAAAAGACGTAGATAGTACTAGTCGTCATATTAGTAATAAAAATAATACTTCTTGCGGCGAAATAACTTCCATTGAGAGGTCTTTATGCAATAAAAATTATCCTTTGAAACAAGATAATAATAATAATGTTCTTGGAGACAGTAATAAAAATGAGATAGTAATACCTAATATGCAAATCCCTAAAAAAAAAAAAAAAAAAAAAAGTAATCCGTAATAAAGACTTTTGTTTTTACTGCAAAACTTTAGTTCTAAATTTTGCGAGACATTTACTAAGAAACCATGCTCTTGAAACAGAAGTACAAAAAACATTATCAGTACCTAAAAAAGTATAACAAGAAAAAAACTTATTACGGAACTAAGAAAAAAAGGAAATTTTATACAAAATTCTGTCGAAGTGACGAGGCCCATGAGAAGACATAAATATACTAATTATTTACCTTGCACTAATTGGTTAGCATTTTCTTTAAGAAATCTTTTATGGAAACATAAAAAGAAGTGCACTGGAAAAAATACTAAAAATGTGCAATCAGAAGCACAAAATTTGTTAATAAAACATTTGAAAATCGATGAAAAACTTAAAGAAACCGTATTCCCCAGAATGAGACCTGATATCGTTTGTTGCTAAATCAGATTTGCTCATTTGTGCATTTGGGTCACAATATATGAAAAATCATAGACAAATACATTTTGTGAATGTAATTTCTAGAAAAATGAGAGAAGTAGCTAAATTGTTAATTGAAATAAGAAAAAAGATCAATCGGTGAAAGATTTATTAGGTGCACTTAATCCGAAATATTATGATCTTATAGTGTCAGCTACAAAGGTTGTAGGTAAATATGACTCGGAAAAAGATACATTTGATTCGCCTACATTTGCAATGAATATTTCTACTAGCATAAAGCAACAGTGCTGCAATATAGCATTTATGCTTGCATTAAAAAAAACAAGGGCCATACATGGAAGTAAACACTGCTGAAATAGAAGCGGGCCTCAAAACTTTGATACACCTTATAGATTCTAATTGGAAATATGATGTTTCAAGTCAGGCTACGATCGATCTAAACAAAAAAAAGTGGAATAAAGTTACCATAATACCTTTAGCAAATGATTTAAAAATTTAAAGAAAAAATTCCTAACAAACACGCTGAAGAAGCTGCCAATAAAATTAAGGAAGGTTCTTATCATCTTGGGGTATACATACAATTATTAGGGACAATATATTGCAGAGTTTTGCTACTGAATCGGCGCAGACTTGAGGAATTTCAAAGAATTACGCTACATGATTACTTGGAAAATGACCTAAATACTTCTGAAAAATATGAAGAATTCGATCGGACGCTAAGTGCATCTGAGCGAGTTCTAGTAAAAACATTTAAACGAGTTGTTGTTAGAGGCAAACGAGGACGTGGGGTTCCCATGTTATTTAATAAAGAAGTTCAAGATGATATAAAACTTTTGCTTACAATAAGGGACAAATTTGTTTCTACAACAAATAAATTACTGTTTGGGAACCCAGGATTCGAGAACTCGATATATGGTTATAAAGTTTTGGAAAGGTACTCGAGGTTATCTGGAGCAAAAAATCCGAAAGCAATTTCTTCCACAAGACTGAGAAAACATTTAGCGACGCTATCACAAATATTTAGTATGTCTGAAAATTATCTGGAACAATTAGCTACGTTCACGGGGCGTACTAATGAAGCTCATAAGAAATCGTATAGATTGCCAGATGATGTGTATCAAACTGCTAAAATTTCAAAACTTCTAATACTTATGGAAGATGAAAAAGCAGATGCTTATAGAGGGAAAGGTTTAGTTGAAATAGATTTAGATCTAAATGAAGAATTGCAGGAAGGAGAAAAAATTGTAAATGATGATATTTTAGATTTTGATTTACCCACACCACAATTGTCAGTTGAAAATTCTTGTGTACAACCTGGTCTTTGGATTGAAAATAAAATATCTGAACTTAATCCCCAGGTGATGACAATGACAGATAAAAGAACTGAAAAAGGGAAAAAGAGAAACTTAGTACCCTGGTCTATGGAACAAAAGAAAATTGTTACCAAATTTTTCAAGAGCCATATACAAAATAAAAAAAACCTCCCAAAAGATTAGAATGCGAAACTTTAAAAGGACAATACCCAGAACTGTTACAAAATAAAGACTGGCTCAAAATTAAAGTTTTTATTCAAAATATTTATTCTAAAAAATAGGATAATTATCATTACATTGGTTTATTTGAAGCAAACTTACTCCAAAAACTTGCTTATCTTTTAATATGACCCTTTATTTAAAATATACATATATTAATATAATTAAGATGTGCGTGTAAGTGTTCAAAGTAATATTATTTATATTGAGCTTACAGATTTATTAATGTTGCTGATGTTGAGCGATGAAAATTAAATAGACATTTATTTTATTACACTATAGATTTAACAATAATGTGATTTTTGTTAAAAAATTTGTTAGTTACTGTTATTATAAGAGGTCTTGTTTGTTTTTATAACATTTTTTATAAGTATACAGATTGTACTGATTTTCTTTAAAAGATAAAACAAATATTTGATTGTAATTATAAGTTCTTTTATGTAATTAAAAGCTTTGTTCTGAATAATTATTTTACAACGGCACAATTCTAAACCTATGAAAGGTTTAGAATTGTGCCGATTTTGTTAGATAAATAAAATAATAACGTGCTTCGATTTAAACATGTTGATGCTTAATGTTACTGTAAGAAATCTTATTTGTATTCATTACATTCATTTAACAGATTTTAAAACTGATTTTCTTAGACAATTTATAAAATAATATGACTCAAATAAAGAAATACTTTTGTTTAATGTTATTATGAGAAATCTTATTTGCTTTGTTATTAATAATTTTATTTAATAGATATCTGTACTAATTTTCTAAATAAAACAAGAATGTGTTTTTAGAAAAAATCTTTTAATTATAGTACACCTTGCATGTATGCAAATTTAAAAAGTATATGGAAGTAAAATACCGTATGATTACCATTATCAAGAGACGCATAAAGTTAGTTAAATAGAATACATAACATACGAAATATACGGTGCGCCATATAGTATCTGTCTTAAAAGGACGCATTTAAATTTACACAAAATACTATAAGTATACGAATATACTGAGTGCTGCATGATCTGCGAGACGAATGGACGCATGAAGTTTGCATGACATACAAACTATATACGGAATATACAAATGTGCCATATGATTCCCGCTATGAACGGACTCCGGAACGTCGGCTAGAAATATGGAAAATTGAATATTGATATCTGCTATTTAAAAGAAATATAATTATGAGTACTGATTTTAGCACGAAATAAAGTAATAATATTCACTTTCAAAACAATTGTAATTTTACTGCAACTGGGGGATGCAATAAGTATCGGAAGTGAAAAGACGCAAGAAGTCGTCTGCGATTATATATATATATATATATATATATATATATATATATATATATATATATATATATATATATATATATATATATATATATATATATATATATATATATACAATATTTTTAAAGGTACGTTGGGCAGAGCAAGTTTTCATTAAATCGCGTGTCAAAAGATATTACACGCCGGAACCCGACGCCGAGGTCCACCGGGTGAAGAGGCTTGAACAATCCAATAGTAGTTTAACACGGAGGACGAGGGCTGCAGAAATACGAGGAAGAAAACCTCTGTTCAACGACGAACTCTGGAGCCAGGAGTGGTATTTGGTAAGTACTAATAATTTGTATTTTTTATTAATAAATTTATTCATTCACCTAAGCTTGAAAATAGATACTTTTACCCCATAGTTGTCACGCTGTAGGGGTGTTTTTAGTTAGACACCTTTTTTATTTTTATTTTAACTTATTTTCATTAAAATTTAAAATCTTAATCATTGTATTTGCATATTATATACAATTTTAAATTATTACATCTTAGAATTTTATTTTAGTATTTATTTTTATAAAACTTAGAATGGCAAACAAGCTGACGCCGCAACTTAGAATGGCAAGCAGCATGTTCGCCATTCTAAGTTGTATAAAAAACATTGTAACAGCTCTATATTACCTATGTGCATGAATGCATTAAAAATAAGTAAATAAAAAATGAAATCATACTTTTGAATGAGTTTGGTTGCGGGAAATATTTTTCCCTTTTGTATTGTCAACAAATAATTTTTAGAATTAATTAGTACTAAAATTCTGAACCTCACGTAAACTGTGTGTCCATCTGTAAAATTAAAAGGGAATGTCAAATTATTTTTTTGTCATATTTCGATCAAAGTTTCTTTGTAATATTCAGTTTCACTGACAGCTGACAGAAGGGAAGCCAATGGTTTTGATTCCATCTGTACATAGTTTCGGGTACATGCACCTTTTATCTTTACTTCAATTATCTATTACTTTATAAAACTATATTTTTTCAGCAAGACACACGAACCGCAAAGAATTTGCCTCGTTTGGATTTAAACGTGTTACCAGTATACGGAATGGGCTTCAATGGCAGCGGGGTACGAGTGTCGGTGCTCGATGACGGCATCGAGCATAATCACACCGATTTAAGAGCGAACTACGTAAGTTTTCTGTTGTCCTGGTACCAATGAGGCGATTAGTTAAAATTTTCTGGCAACAAGTGGCACTAATGAACTCTTATTTCCAGGCAGTTTACAGTTTATATTTAATTAACTGAGTTTCGTTCGCGTTGTTGTGAACACTAAAAAATAGTGAGTGATTATTTGGTTACGCCACAGACTTGGTTACGAATTTTATTTGATGATTTCATACGTCATCTGCCTGCCTAAATTGTCGGTATCGTAGCTGACTAATTAATTAATAGACTTCATACTCTAAAACATCTAAATTAAAATATCAATTTTATTATAGTGATTTTTTTCTATCAATTTTTTTTTACAGATGTAAGTCAAATTTGATTATAAATTTAGTATAATATGATTGATTACCTTATTAAATAGTAATTTTGTAAAAATATCAAATTAAAATATTAGATTTAGAGATACGTTCAGAGAGTCGTACTTCAGAATCGACCCAATTATTAGATTTTTACTAATTGTAATCTGCGGTTTTGCTCGGAAAAATATTCTAGACATGTTCCGTGAAACAAATTTCACACAGATCAATTTGCCGTATAAGCAAGCATGTTTAAATAACAAACATATAAACAATATTAGTAAAATTTAGTAAGTAATGTAAGAGGTAACTAAGGGAACTAATGGTTCATGGATGAGCATCACCGTCCCTCTTAAAATATCACCAAAAATCTAACAATCCAAGACTAATTGATAACTTTTTATTTTAATTTAACTTATAAAAGTTGGTAATTAGGTATTTGGTAAAACACAGCAAGGACTAACGAGAAATAAGGAATTCTAACGTACCTGACATTCTGTATACGAATAACAGAAATGATCTCTTAAAATCTTCTGAACTCCTGGTAAGTTTGCCGGCGGCGCAACGCGCCGCGCGAGTCGGGCGTGCCAGCACCTCGTGCTGGTGCTGCATGCAACGCAACGCCACCAAATGTGCGCGAGCTGTTCAGCCTTTTTTGACTTTACAAATTTGTATTGGTGTATTTAATGTTGTTGTTGTTAGTTTTTGTTACTAGCTACAGACTATTGTACTGACAAGGATATTGAATGTATACTTACTATACCAAATGTACACAGATAAAAAAATAAATGCGATACAAAGTTTGCAGAAATTTTCAAATGTCTTGAAATGACAGTCTTTACGTATTTATAACTTATCTTCAGCGATTTGTTTTGTTTTTTTTTTTTTTAAGATAATTATTTATTAGTTACATTACTCTCATATGTATTCATACTACATATACAAATTGACACAAGTTACCTTTTAGGCATTGTAATGGGCGTGAGAGAGACAGATATCCTATTAGAACAGAATCAAGATGTTTCCATCATTCGTTACCATAGTCGTTGTAAGGTACTACCACTCTGATTTGTTCATCATAAACCTATATAAACAATCTCTTAAGACATTCTGAATACCTAGTAAATGAATCAGCGACATGACGCGCCGCGCGAGTCCGGCGTGCCATTTGGGTTAGTGTGCAATGAGTAAGCATTGCTACAGAGTTTAATGTTACGACTAGCAACAGTTTGTAGGTAGTGTGCAGTCCAATAGATCATATCATACAACCACAAACTAATTCTTACCACGACAGACTGTAGGTGATTAATATACGAGTAAAAATATAAATCGCCACATAATGTACTCACATTATACAATAGATAAGGAAACAAGCAAATCGCCATACAAATATGTATGTTTCTACTACAGAAAGGCATTTGTATGTAGGTATATAAACTTTAGATTCTGCAATTAGTTACTCATATCGGGCAACGCTTGGATACAATCAATTGGCCAATCACAGATTTCGAATTTAAATTATTTATTTAATTTGACCGTTGTCTTTTACCTCTCTTCTGCTTTTTCATATGATGCTTATAAGAAAAAATAATAATTATAATTATTTATTTAAACAACTAAGCTCATGCTAACATGGTTCCAGGACCCGGACATCAGTTGGGATTGCAATGGTAATGATTCCGATCCCCAACCGAGATATGAGGAGCTTAAAAAAAATTCACATGGGACCAGATGTGCTGGAGAGGTATTAACAGAAATACATTAGTATTTAAATAACATTATAAATAGAAACACTAGTATAATGGAAACACTGTTATTAATTTTTTTTTATTATAGATATTGTTAACCAAAAATTATTTTTTTATTCTCAAATCTTAATTATTGTTATAAATTAATAAAATTTTGTAACATATTATTAGATTTAAATATACAACACAAAAATAAAATACTACAACTAAAATAAACTAAAATTGCATTATTATTTTTCTATTGTAGATAGCAATGACAGCGAATAATTTAAAATGCGGTGTGGGCGTAGCCTGGGGAGCCAAAGTAGGCGGAGTTCGTATGCTCGACGGGCGAATTACGGACAGGATTGAAGGAGAGGCCATTGGTAATAGCTCTGTAGTTTTATGTCGTCCTAGTACATCGATCGCCATGTTGAGCTCAAAATGTCGTTTGTTAGAAGATAAATAAATGACGATAGAGAGAATATTCTGTACGAATGAGATGAGAATATAGGTAGAACCATAGTTAAAAACGAATACCTCACATGTGTCATATTGTAATGAACTATAGTAATGTAAGATGGTTGCAACTTGAAATATTTCGCTGATTTAGAGGAAGAAATATTTACCTATCAGCTCTGAATTCCATGCGTACATAACGTTAACGTTATGATGACATTATGATTGTATTGTATGTATGTATGAATCAAGCATTTTCTTTTTAACTGGTGTTTTACACAAGTAATATTCAATTATGTACATACTGCGAACCACCACTGTATTCATGTTATCCGAGTAATATGGGTGAATAGTGACGTAACAGTCTTGCACCACTGTTTCTTGCCTCTTGTTTGTTATGAATCCGTTTCCTCACTCCGTCGTTTACCATGAAACGCATGGCCAAGTTTGGAAGTTTATTTAATATTTTCTATAATTTATTTATTTTTATAACCTTTTGATTAAGTTACTTATCTTACTATATCCAGATTGAGAAATAAATAAAAATGTATTAACGAAAAAAATATCCATTTTCTCAACTGAAATAATTGAAAGATTATTTATATAAACCATCTGTTTCTTATTATTCTAAGTAAAAATTTAAAAAATAGAAGATGGCCATAAAATATTATAAAAAAAAATAAATAAATATAAGAATGTAATTTGTCATAAAAATAAACCTTTCTTAAAAAAAAATATTAAGAGTATTCTAATTTAACTTGTTAAAGTGTGGTAACTACCTGTCAATCATAAAAACAATTTAAATCTCTCGGTTAGCAAACTACATAAATTTAATTCATATTAACTAACCTATTATTAAAAAAAAATATGACAATCGTTATGCAAAAAAGTATTTGAAAAATTCCAAAGCAAATAAAGTAAATTTATAAAGTAAATTTGTATGCAAAGCACTGTTTAAATAAAATCAAATGGAAATATTAAACATTGTCAATTGTTTTATAAAATTGACAGATAGATTTTATAACGTTGCCAGACGTTAAATTCAGTAATTTAAATTCTAAAGAGCTAGTTAATAAAGTATGAGGTTTATTTTTGAAATAATTTGCAATATTTGTTCATATTTGACAAAATATTCTTATATTATTTACGGATTCTAATAGTTTATTTTCAAACAAAAAAAAAAGAGGATTTTGTAATTATAATACAAAACATATCCATCCCCATCCATCCAATCCATCTTTTACCTCAATCTCGATTGCTGATTTCGAATGGGCCGGCCGGCCGCACGATCGAAACGAACAACGATCCGAAAGTCATGTTGCGTCACGTTCTACTAGGGTAACATAGATTGGAAAGAGATGCTATTGTTCTGTAGTATGCTATTGCACTTCGCTTAGACAGGGATAAACTTATAAGAACGACAGAGAAGCACGATCAACCTTTATATTGTGTATGTGTGTAGTACGTAGTCAGGTTATCCAATGGCGTTGACCTTTGTTACTTCGTGGTGGTGGTGGTACGTAGTACTGGTAGTTACTGGTAACGCATACATAAGTGACGCAAGCATACAGTGATTAGTAACAGAATGATAGGCACAATATTGATAATTTATATTCAACCTAATTTCTTTACTATTTAAGTATGTGAAGGACAAAAAGTTTGGACAGTTAAAATGTATAAGAAATAAGTAAATTTTATATTGCAAAAAATCTTGTTTTCAGTAGAGACAAAATCAGTTATTTTCACTTACAAAATTAAACTATTGAACAGCTTTTTTAGACCAATCTGAATGTACTTGATATCCTTTCCTATAAAAAAAGATTATTTTTTATATTGGTTTCTAAATGACAATAATATTACGGTATAATATTTTGTGGTAACAAACATAAAAATAACCGATTTGTGATTCTTCCTCTTTATACGAAGTCGGTTGAAAATAGTATTAATAATACAAAATATCGATTCCGATTATAACAGAAATTGTTCACTACAGGCAAATATATAGAATTAAAATAATGTTAAATTTAAATTATTTAATATTGTATTTAAATGCATTTAATGTCGTCACTCTATCTAGTGGGGGGTCGTCCTACACTGCGTTAATGCAGGTGGATTAGGACCGTTCCTTATGGCGGTCTATGGGGCAGGCATAATGTCCAACAGTGGACGGAAAATGGCTGAAATGACAGAGAAGATGATATTTCAATATTATATCTACGTACCTAACAAATATTACTTTTTAATTGACTTCAAAAAAGGAAGTTGTCAGTTTTTTTTTTACTATCTATATTACCTCATAATTCCGTCAGTTTTAAACCAAATTGAAGTCAGTTTTTTTGTGGGACACAATCTTTAATTATTCAGGTTACGCTTGGGATAAGGTTGACATCTACAGTGCTTCATGGGGCCCTAATGACGACGGACGAACTGTAGAAGGTCCGGGGCGTCTGGCCAATGAGGCATTCAGACGAGGAGTTACTCAGGTACGTAACACAATCGATTATTTATTTAAGATATACGATTTCATTGTATATTTTATTTTTGAATATATACACAGATGAAGTATCTCCATTTTTTGTTATACTAGTGAAGTGACAAACAAGCATACGGCCCGCCTAATGGTAAGTGGTTACCGTAAGCTTTGAGTGCCTATATTACCAGGGGTATTAAGTGCGCGTTGTCGACTCTAAAGTATTTTGCCTAATATAATATAAGACACTTCTTATATAGGTACGTATTTTCTGTTGAAATCATGTTTTTCTGGCAATAAATATTTTCTATTCTATTCTAAGAAAGATCTTTACCCCTTTTTTTTAAAGAACGCCATTATCTTTGGTTTTTTTAGTCTAATCCGTCCATTTTTTTTTATACAACTTAGAATGGCAAACAAGCTGACGGCTCACCTGATGGAAAGTGGTAACCGTCGCCTATAGACATGAGCAGTACCATGGATATAACAGAGTATACTGTTTCGCCCATGATATCCTCCATGCGTTGCCATTCCTGAGGAATCGGGTGTTATTTCTCTGTACCCTGTAAATTCACGCCATATCCCGCCCTTCAAACCGAAACACAGCCATGCAAACACAACTGCTAAACGGTAGAAACACGAATGGGACAGAGGTAACTTCTATAGCATCCCAGTATTAGAACTCTGTTACACGTGTCTGTGTCTTTTATATTCTTTTCTCAGTGTAGTCGTCTCTTCAACTAAATATCTTACTAATCCAGTTTAAGTAAAAATCCTCACGCCTATAATCTGTGATAGGGTGTAGTCAGAGGTATGTTGTTAAATTATTATGTCAACCGAACACTATATATATATATATACATATATATTTTATTTCTACCCTACAGGGACGGGGAGGCAAAGGAAACATATACGTGTGGGCAAACGGCAACGGTGGTGGCCACAACGACAACTGTAATTGTGACGGGTAATTAAGTATGTACTTAATTATATAAGTACAAGTATCGGTAAAGAGTATTAAAGCTCAAAACTCAAAGCTCTCAGCTTTGTCCTCGGAAAATGATCCCCTTATCAACTCAGGTGGAGTTTGAGATACGACGGCTCGAGCCGAGGTCTGAACGGCCTCGCTGTGACTTAGGTCGTATCGTTGCCATTCCTGAATCCCCAGGAATGGCAACTCATGGGCGAGACAGTATACTCTGTTATGTCCATGGTATTGCTCATGTCTATAGGCGACGGTTACCACTTTCCATCAGGTGGGCCGTCAATTTGTTTGCCATTCTAAGACGTATAAAAAAAAAAATTAATGGCTGATTGCCATGGCATTCAATTGCGATAATTTTCATTTTTTTTAAATGGTAATAAAATACTCGTCATCGAACTTAGATAAAGGAGAATCTGTAAGTAGATATATCTACTATTGATAAATTTATTCCATTTGTGACACAACTTTAATTCCAAAATTTAGTTTTTTTTTTAATGGCTGATAATGGCATTCCATTAAAATTCTAGTAGCCCCGCCTGCGCTAACATTTACGTTTGCGGGACACCAGTGAGGGATGATAGATGAGGTTGAAAGCAGAGGGCCTACCATGAAATATTTTCCGAAATTTCGGGTCCTAACAAAACAAAAATTGGATGTTAAAATTACATAATACATACCGTTTTACCGTTTAAAAATGTTAAAATATCGTTGTTTATAACTATTATAGGAGGATTTTTGACCAATGAAACGTTAAGCTCCATCTATTGGCCGATATCGGTATGAACAAAACCACAAAATAGAGCCCGAAAATTCGGAATTTCATTTCACGGTAGTCCCCAGAGGACCTACCATGAAATATTTTTCGAAAATTCGGGCACGAACGAAACAGAAATTTGATGTTAAAATTACATAATACATGCCGTTTAAAATTATTAAAAATGTTAAAATATCATTTCTCTGGACTATTAGGATAGGATTTATGATGAACGAAATATTAAGCTTCGTTTACTGGGTCGATTGTCGTACGAACAAAAACACGAAATAGAGCCCGAAAATTCGGATTTTCGTTTCACGGTAGACCCCAGGTCATTTAGTCCAACGTGAAAAATTTCACAAGAATTCACCGAGATGGTTTCCGGGGGGAACTGCGTGGTCGACCCGATAGGGTATATTGCCAGCGGTGGAGTTGTAGATCCCCCAAAGCATTGTAAATCCCTTCATGTCAAAATTTATAGTTAAATCTGTATGTTTGTACGTATATTTATAATTATGTTATTTTCAGATACTCTTCTAGTATTTATACGGTATCAATAGGCAGCGCGTCCCAACATGGCCTCTTCCCTTGGTATGGAGAGATTTGCTCATCCACTTTAGCTACTGCGTATTCTTCTGGTGCCTATAAAGATCAGAAAATAGTAAGTATTTTTTTTTAACAACTTCCTTCATGTTTTTTAAAATATTTATTTATTTATACCCATTTATTTATACCTTACCAGAGGGAGATTTTGTACAAAAGTCGTTTGCTTGGGTACTTCTGTCCCATTTGTGTTTTAACCGTAAAGCAGTTGTGTTTGCATGGCTGTATTTGTGTGGGATATGGCGTAAATTTACTGGGTACAGAGGAATAACACCTGAGTACGGGGGGAAAGGGATTGTTAGTAATGGAGATTGAGAATCCCATTGCTAGCAATATACCCAACCAGGTCGACCTCCTCGCGGTTCTCCCTGGAAACTATTTTTTTTTTTAATACCACTTAGAATGGCAAACAAGCTGACGGCCCACCTGATGGAAAGTGGTAACCGTCGCCTATAGACATGAGCAATACCATGGACATAACAGAGTATACTGTTATGTCCATGGTACTCATGCTCAGGCCCATGGTACCCCCCATGCGTTGCCATTCCTGAGGACTCAGGTGTTATTCCTCTGAACCCAGTAAGTTTAAATATTTAATTAATAAAATTGAAATAAGATAATCTAAAAACATCTTTTAGAAATACAAATGAGTATAAAATTGTACAAATGTGTACTTTCAGAGTACAGGATTTGAAAAGAGTACGGTTTGTGAAAAAAGAGTACAAAACTCAGTAAATGAGTATAGTTGGTCACATTATGAATAGGAATAGTCCAAGGATATAAGGTGTATTTTGAATGTATAAAATTCAAGGGGATGTGTCAAGATTAAATATGCTAAATTGTTAGATACACTTTCAGGAATACAACTGTGAAAACCTTATCTAATTTGGTGCAGTCGTTTTTGCCTAATACCGGAATAAATATTCAAACAAATGTTTCAAAATGATTGTTTTGGCTTCTATTACTCTTATGAACTCCTCATACCAATGTTTCTTAAATATCATCTATGTACAGATATCGTCTAGTTTTACTAAAGTAACTAGAAATACCAATATGATATCGTCTCTGTGTACACTAATAATAATCTGTGTAACATGAGCATCTGTCTCTTTCAGGCAACTACGGACACGGGTGATTCTTGTACATTGAAACACACGGGGACATCCGCCGCTGCGCCATTGGCTGCCGGTATTGTAGCGCTCACGCTGCAAGCCAAGTGCGTTCCTATTTTAAACAATGTCTCTTGTATTTTATGTGATCCTAGTAGATGGATCTGTATGGTCTGTTTGTCTCAATACCCTGTGGGAGTGATGATTGTGGGAGTGAGTCAGTTTTGCTCAAACTCTCTTTCTAATTGATGACATATATATTTATTATATATATATTATATATTAAAAATATATGCTTTCAATTGCATAACATTTGTCCTAACTTTGATAGCTTATTTCGACTTACATTTGCTATCTCTACTTTATTGCCATATTTAGGACTGAATATTACAGTGTACTAAACTCACGCGTTAGTAATTAAATTTAAATAAATTTTGTTTTTAGTTCCAACTTAACGTGGAGAGATGTCCAACATTTGATAGTCTGGACTTCTGAATATGCTCCATTATCAGCCAATCCTGGGTGGCAGATCAATGGGTGAGTTTTTACTATGAGCATATTTAAAGACTAGTTTATTGTAACTGTTTTTTTTTTGCAAACAACAACAATTGGTGAAACAAGTGTTAAACTTGCAATAGATAGGCGTTCAATACATTTTTAGCTGACTTTACTACAAAGGCGTGTCTAACATCTGTTTATATCTAAGGGAAATCTGTGTTTATTATAAATAAAATTTGTTTAAAGTAATAAATTCATCTATATTTTGGCGCATAAAATTAAAAATAAACGATAAACTTTGTTATATCGACTAAACAATATTTAATCAAGTAAACGGAACTTTGTTAAGCACTGTTTAAATAAACAATGTTTTAAATAAACAATGTTTTAAATATTTTCTGTAGTTATACTAAAGTTAGTCCGCAAATATTTACTTACTTGTATTTAAAATGCTCTCTCTGATGTTTGTTCTATGATGGAAAAGGTTAAATTTGTGATAGTTAATGATGATGAACGATTAAACCAGTTGTTAATTGCTGAATATAGGTCTCCCCCTATTGGGGGGTTTCGCCAGTAGTTGCCACGTTTGACAGATAGGTTGACAACCGTAAATTTTGTTGATAGTTAATAATGATTGATGCACTATCTTGGCAACCGTCGTATTTGAGTTACTATAATATCAATTAAAAATTTCATTTAAATCGGTTCAACTGTTTAATGACGTAAACTTACTGGTTAGTTAATTTTAACGACGTAAATTTACTGGTTATTTAATTAGAATTATTTTGTTTAATTCCGTTACCATTAGTATATGTGAGATTACCACCACTGTACTCGAAGATTGACTATTATTATTATCAGAAGTTAGAGGTTGTTGGCAGTCACACACATACTAATGGTAGCGGAATTAAACAAAATAATCCTAATCAACTAACCAGTGATATGAACTTCCACAAAATAACAACTAGTTCATTAAAACATGTACATAAACTTAAACAAAATAAAAAATATAACAAAAATAAAAGTGGCCAAACGTACTATTGCTTTACTTTGTCATTTATTAACGAAAAATTAAAAATTTTTTTGTTTCTCGTTTTTAGTGTCGGACTTCGCTTCGACGTACGTTTTGGATTCGGGCTTATGAACGCTGGCGCCCTCGTGTTGGCGGCACTGAACTGGACAACTGTTCCAGAAAAACATATCTGCCGCGTGGAAGCTTCATCGTTAGTATGTTTCCTTGGTAACAGTATCGTCAAGCTGTTGTGTCATGATCGCTTGTGGATCGCACCTTATCTATCTACCTTAATGGCCATAAAACGTCCCACGTATGGGCATGTTCTATTAGTTAAATTAAACATTATAGATAATCGAAAAGGGACAAAAATTTTAAATTACCAATACCTTATACAAACATGAAACCTCTTTTATAAAACAACTTCAGCTATTATTTAAGTGTTTTTGTCTTTTTCTTTTGCGTTCAATTCTTAATTTGAAAGACAGTGACAGAACATTTTAATAGCTAAAATTGGTTTGTAGGAGGTGTTAGTTTTTATAAATAAGAAGATTCGTAAATTAACCCCACATTACAAAAAAAAAAGTCAAAAGGCGGACTTAATACTATATAGCATTCTCTCGCAGTCAACCATTGGCAAAACAGAAATGTAATTCTGCGGTGAAAATATTGAAAATTGACGTGGGTAAATGATGTCACTTAAAATAATTCAAAAACCTTTTAAAATGATCGTTTAACCCTTCTTTGCATACTGGTGGAAATTTCCATCATAACATTGAATGCCGGGGGAAAGGGATTGTTAGTAATGGAGACTGAGAATCTCATTGCTAGCAATATATTCAGCCAGGTCGACCTCCTCACGGTTCCCCCTTGAAACTATCATGGTTAATTCCTGATGAATTCATTATGATGGGCTAACTGACCTGCCTTTTCATTCCCATTTATTATCACTCACCTATACAGTCTGATATACGGATTCTATGGGCTAATGGATTTAACCCTTCTTTGCATGATTTTTTTTATTGGTGAAATCAAAGTCATATAATCAAAGTGATATAATAATATAATGAATACACCTGGAATTAAGCACGATGGTGTCCAAGAGGCACCACGTGGAGGTAGACCTGACAGGGTATATTGCTAGTAATGAGACTGGAAGTCCGCAATACTAACAATCCCTTTCCCCCTATAGGAAGATGGCATTTGTTTATTTTTTAAAATATCACTTATCACTGTTTATTTTCACAATGTTTATATACAATTTTAATGTTTTTTTTTTTTTGCTGCGGAAACGTTTTACCCATTGTTTATGTTGTATTAATTATAGGATCAACGATGGTGGCGGCCATATATCTTCTGGAGATCAATTGGATATTCCATTCGAAGTTGGAAATTGTGCAGTGAATTATTTAGAGCACGTCGAGTTATTTATCAACGTTCAATATACACGCCGTGGCGCCCTAGAACTTTATCTTATATCGCCGTCAGGTAAGAGCTCTGCTCGTTTATGGGCGCCTAGTATTTTAGTTAGATACGTTAGCCCGTCCGCTGGAGTAACCACCGGACTAGTGAAGTGCTCAGTCGACCTTTGTGTGTGTATTACTCTGATATTCGTTAAAACTACTCTGTGCAAATAATGACTCCAGTCTATAATCAACACATACACACATATAAATATATAATTATTATATACTTGAAATTATAACTTGAAGTGTTCGAAGTATGACGCAAGACTGCTACTCTAATTAAATTCTGTACCTACATTTTTGGCTTTTGGCCCTAAATGGTCATAACGTCATAGTCGTAGAATACTGACGGATCTGACAAATATTACATATAAAGATCCGTCAGTATTCTACGATTATGACGATAAACACAGTTTATTATTTTTCTTTTGAATTAAAGCTAAATACTATTATTTAGGCGAAATAAAAACCATTTTATCTGACTTAAAACATGGTAAATAGGTATTCATTTTTTTTACTGAATTTCCAATGGATTTTTATCAGTATTTTAGTTAGCCTACTGTATGTTTTTTTTTTCATGGATGAAAATGGAATGGTAATCCCACCCGCGCTATCGGTATACACCGGCGGGGCACCAGTGAAGGATGATAGGTGAGGATGAAATAGGTCAGTTAGCCCATCGTGACGAATTCAACAAGAATTGTTCATGATGGTTTCCAGGGGGAACCACGTGGAGGTCGACCTAATAGGGCATATTGCTAACAATGGGGCTGTCAAACTCCATTGCTAACAATCCCTTTCCCCTCAGTCTACTGTATGTTCAACAGATACAGGTATTCTTTTTTTTTTCGAAAATTATATTTTTTAATTTAAGGTAAATATAATATAATTTTTTTTCTAGGGAAAAAGTTACTACTGCTTTTCAAACAGAAACACAGCACAGCCATGCAATCACAGTTATTATAGTGTAAAAACAAAAATGGGAAAGAGTTACCCAAGTAGATGACTTTTGTATAAAGTCTCCCTCTGGCGATTGATGTTAAAAGAGTCAACATTTGTCACTAGGTACTAAGGTGCAAGTACTCAGTGCTCGGCCGAGAGATGTCTCCACCGCCGGCTTCGTCAACTGGCCGCTCACTTCGGTTGCCACGTGGGGTGAAAATCCTAAAGGTATCTGGAGGCTGATCATTCAGGACAAGGTAATAAAATTTTTTTAACGTGTCTAATGTAAAACTATGGCATTTTTTAAATTTAATCTCAATAGTAAAATTATTAGGAAACACTAGGCGTCATGTCGTATAGGGAGATAAAGGATATGGCCTGGGATAGAGCTGGCTGGAATAAGATGCATGAATTAGTTGCACCGACAAGAGGAAACTCTTAAATGAAAAGAAGTAAAATTATTGATTTTTTTTTGTATATAAACTGCAAAAAAAGGTACCAAAATTATATATTTTAGTTACAATATCTATTGTATCAGCCTTAATTGTCCACTGCTGAACATAAGGCTCTGCCTTGGAAGGTTTAGCCAGTAGTTGCCACGCTTGGCAGGCGAGTTGGCAACCGCGGTTAGGCTTTGGAGATGCTTTAAGAGGGACGCTGCTGCCTATCCCTTGCCCTTAGTCGCCTCTTACGACACCCACGAGAAAGGAAGGGATGGTCTACGCCGGAACCACAGCCAATATCTATATACTCTCTCTGGTAAGGCTTTTGTACAAAGTCTCACTAGAGGGAGACTCTGTACAAAAGTCGATTGCTTGGGTACCTCTGTCCCATTCGTGTTTGAACCGTGAAGCAGTTGTGTTTGCATGGCTGTGTTTCGGTTTTAAGGGTGGTATATGGCGTGAATTTATAGGGTACAGAGGAATAACACCTGAGTGCTCAGTAAAGGCAACGCATGGGGGGTATCATGGGCGAAAGAGTTATGTCCATGGTACTGCTCATGTCTATAGGTGACGGTTACCACTTTTCATCAGGTGGGCAGTCAGCTTGTTTACAGTAAATAAAAAATTAGGCTAATTTCTATATTTACTGTAAAATTTTAGAACTTCGAATTAGCACAGGCAATTTTTTATATTTTCAAATTTAGAAGATTTAGTGATTAAACGTCTATTATTTATTGTTTTTTTACAGACCGACGAAGAAAATTCTGGCATGGTTGGACGAATTACTTTAGCTCTGCATGGGACTAAAGAAATGCCAGAGCATATGAGAAATGGACCAAGGAAATATAATTACGACTACAACAACTACGAGGATGTCTTCAACTACTTCGATACAGTGCTGGAAGACGAAAATCGGAATTCGTCCGACGATATCGAAACACCAGAAGTACCAGAAGCGCATAAAACTGGGGAAGTGGACGAGTTCAATGACATAGATCCAACAATATTGGCGGAAGTCGAGAAAGAGTTGCAAAGGATTCATCATAGAATTATTTTAAGAACATCTGGAGTAAATTGAAGGTTAACACAATTAGAATTTGATCTTGTATAAAATATTTAAATTATTTTTAATTATCTGTAATTATTATTGGATTAATAAATTAAGATATAGCGTTATGTTATTTATTATATAATAAAATCTATATCAAATTGACAAAAATATTGTATTTATTATTTTTATTATACTTATCTACGCTACAATTATAGTTTTTAATCTGTATTTTTTTGTTGTTTATTTTCCTTTTTTTTTATACAACTTGGAATGGCAAACAAGCTGACGGCCCACCTGATGGGAAGTGGTAACTGTCGCCTATAGACATGAGCAGTACCATACATATAACAGAGTATAATATTTCGCCCATGATACCATAAAGCAATTGTGTTTGCATAGCTGTGTTTCGGTTGGAAGGGTAGGATATGGCATGAATTTACTGGGTAGAGAGGAATAACAGCTGAGTCCTCAGGAATGGCAACGCATGGGGGGTATCATGGGCGAAACAGTATACTCTGTTATGTCCATGGTACTGCTCATGTCTATAGGCGACGGTTACCACTTTCCATCAGGTGGGCCATCAGTTTGTTTGCCATTCTAAGTCGTATAAAAAAAATAACTTTTTTGGCATATAACATATATAATTACAACTAAATAATTCAATATGGCAATAATGATTGTTATATGAATTACAGGCTTTAAGACATTATTTTTGGAATAATCTGTTTTACAAATTGAAATATAAAACAATTATATACGAGTACTTTTATTAAATACATCTAATATATAAAATTCTCGTGTCACGATGTTTGTTACCAAACTCCTCCGAAACGGCTTTACCGGTTTTTATGAAATTTTGTGTGCATATTGGGTAGGTTTGAGAATCGGCCAACATCTATTTTTCATACCCCTCAATAATAAAAGTGACCTACCTGATTTTTATTTTTATTTTATTACGATTTGGCATTGAAAAATACATACAAATTTATATTTTCACGCTTTTATGATCAACCCCTGTTTTTTAATCGCGATTTTTCTATACCGCAATAGGGTAGCAAGATGGCAAGCGAATATAATAATTGGAGTAGGATAAATTTTCATGTATAGTTCTCGAAATAATATATATGGTAAAACAACGTTTGCTGAGTCAGCTAGTTTATTTATATATTTATTGATACTTTATTGACCACATTACAAAAAATATTTGGTACAAACGGATTTAATACGGATTTTATAGCATTCTCTCGCAGTCAACCTTCGGCAAAACAGAAATGTAATTATGCGGTGAAAATATTGCAAATTGTAGATAAACAATAACAAATAGATGATACCAGAATTCGATCGGTACGAAGTCCTTTACCTGATACAATATGGATTAGTTCAACAACTTGTTAGCAAGGGAGGATTTATCTCTGAAAGAGATCTCTTCCAGCCAACCCAGTGTAGTTAGAGAGAAAATAATTTAATTTGGGTAATCCAGTGCAGAAAAGGTACCAGTGAAAATAATGTAAATACATCAAACACTATTGTGAATAATTATTATTACTAATCTTTAATTGTAAAACCCAAATCTTTTAATTCCTGTACCAGGTATTCGTCTCTGTACTCGTAAATTTTTCCAAGCCACTCTTCAGTCGATATAACATGCCTGCAGTAACCGCCATACGCCGCCGGCAAATGTCTGGGGTGTATTTGTTTCTGGAGAGAGCTCAAGTCGTACCCATGGAAGTGGATGGTGTTCCAGATTGGTTTCGGTATGAACTGCTTGAACACGTACCAGAATGTGTTCAATATCCAGTTATAGTTGACCAAGTGTATACTGTTCAGTGGCAACGGGAAAGCCACCTGTAACGTTATGTTCTCCTAGTAACTAATGTCCGATACGTTAAACTAACTAGTTGATGATCACTTTCAATCATTTGTCTAATGATTAGTGATCATCGATACTCAGAATTAAGAATTTTATTATTACTTTATCTGTAAATAAAATAATAATAAAAAAAAAAATATCGTAGGAAATTATAATTTATGCGTCGTGCGTGTGCGCAATTGGTCATGGTGTGAGTGACATTATATAAATAATATTTTATATATATAGTCCATATATGAATTAAATAAAAATAAATAAGAGAGAGAGAGACCAATAAATACAACCAAAACAATTTTTTTTTATAAAGTTTGTCTCTTTTTGTATTGTTCCGGTATTACGTAAAAACTACTGTGCCAAATTGGATGCGGTTTCCATAGTTGCGTTCCTGAAGGTCTAACTTAAAATATGGTATATGTATTAAGTGTCAAAGTCTATCTAAAAGTAGTCTATTTCATTTCTGGACGCATTTCATTTCTGAAAACCACGTCTACGAAGTAGCGGGAAAAAAGCTAATCAATTTTTAGAATTTTTTTTGGAGGAAACAATAAAGAGATCTATCTAATAAAATAAATCTTTACCCCCATTAAGCTGACAATTTGATTGGCTATGGCCGGCGTCAGTTGTGAGATATGGCGGAAACTCAACCCCTCGAGGTCTATAATGACCGTCACTCCCAGGATCTGAAGTTTTGGTTGCTGTACAGCTATCTCCTCCAGCACCAGTGCACAGCGCACCACATCATCTATAGAGACTGCATTAGTGTCCCATCGACCTGAAATGTAGCCAAAATAAAGTAATGGATGGTAAAGGAATGGTAACACCGTCTGCGCTAACGGTATATTCTAGTGAGGCATCAGTGAAGGGTGATAGGTGAAAATGAAAAGGGAGGCCACTTAGCCCACCGTGACGAATAAACCAGAGGAAGACTTTGTACAAAAGTCGATTGCTTGGGTACCTCTGTCCCATTCGTGTTTCTACCGTGAAGCAGTTGTGTTTGCATGGCTGTGTTTCGGTTTGAAGGATGGGATACGGCGTGAATTTACAGGGTACAAAGGAATAACACGTAAGTGATGCAAATAAATTATCTATCTATCTATCTATCTAACACCTGAGTCTTCAGGAATGGCAACGCATATCATGGGCGAAACAGTATACTCGGTTATGTCCATGGTGCAGTCTATAGGTGACGGTTACCACTTTCCATCAGGTGGGCCGTCAGCTTGTTTGCCATTCTAAGTAGTGTAAAAAAAAAAGTATATTAAATGTACTATGTCTAACCCTTCTTTGCATAATTTTATTTAACTTATAAAAACTTTGGAAATTTCCATCATAACATTGAATGCTCAAAAAATATTTAAAAGTACAAGTTCACTTTAAGTTGATCGTGTCCGGATACCTTTTTAATGTTCATTGCAGAAAAAAAAAAACATAGCTGTCAAATTTATTTTTTAATTATTTTTCCTTTTGAACATGAATTATACTACCTTAATTTTTTCACCAATAATAAAATCATGCAAAGAAGGACTAAAAGTAGTATTCTCTTAATAGTTTAAGTATAATTGCTTGAGCGGCTTACCAAATCTCATAAGTATAAGTCGGCCATGTTCGGGACTCTCCGGAAGGGTGCCTGCGTAGACGTGCTTCACCTTCTTTAGTTCAAATGGGTCGCAATTGTACAGGTGGGCGTTCTTTCGACGGAAATCTTCGTATCTCACCATCTACATGATAGATAGATAGATATTTCTTACTTTAACACAGCATCCACGGATCATATACGAGTTTACAGGACAGATAACATTTAAAAGGTACAACTAAATAAACATATTTTACTGAAATTGGTGTTATCTTGTGAAAGTCCATCATCATCATTCAGCCTTTAACTGTTCACTGCTGGACATAAGCCTCCCCCTTGGGGGGGGGGGGGGGGTTGCCAGTAGTTGCCACGCTTTACGACGGACGCTACTGCCCATCCCTCGCCCTTCCTTATTTGACTCTTACGACATCCACAGGAAAGGATAGGGTGGCCTATTTTATCCAGAAAGTCTAGATCGCTGGTTATTTGATTAGAATTATTTTGTTTAATTCCGCTACCATTAGTATACCATAGTATAGTAACATCAATCGTTGCGTTATATAATTTTATAAGACGATCCGTGTTTCCGTCAGTTGGAAAGGCACATTTGATGTCAAGGAGACCAAATCGGTGGACGGCAGTAGTGAGCGGATGGCTAGATTTAGGTAGTTACCTACATAGAACTGCTATTTAGACATCTATACTAGTACGCCATTTAAAGGCAATTTTAAGGTCCTAAAAACCCTATTTAATTTTACCTATTTGATATTTTTTTTTATACAACTTAGAATGGCAAAGAAGCTGACGGTTCACCTGATGGAAAGTGGTAACCGTCGCCTATAGACATAAGCAGTACCATGGACATAACAGAGTATACTGTTTCGCCCATGATACCCCTCATGCGTTGCCATTCCTGAGGATTCAGATGTTATTCCTCTGTACCCAGTAAATTCACGCCATATCCCACCCTTCAAACCGAAACACGAATGAGACAGAGGTACCCAAGCAATCGACTTTTGTACAAAGTCTCCCTCTGATAATGATGTAGACAGGTTTTTTTATTTTTAATGGGTGATAATGGAATTGCAACCGCCCGCGCTATCGGTACACGGCGGGGCACCAGTGAAGAATGATAGGTGAGGATGAAGCCGATCAGTTAGCCCATCGTGACGAATTCAACAAGAATTGTTCACGATGGTTTCCAGGGAAAACCACGTGCAGGTCGACCTAATAGGGCATATTGCTAACAATGGGGCTGTCAAACTCCATTGCTAACGATCCCTTTCCCCCCTGTAGATATCATTAGGCATGATAAAAAAAAAATAGTATAACAAGGAATGTACGAGTATTTTAATTTTTTTTTCACACCACGAAGGTGGTAAACGATACAGCTCATCCGATGTTAAATAGTCATTGTAGCATATAGACATCTACAACCCCAAGAATGTCAAGTGCACGTTGCAGATCCTATGCCATTTGGATTGGCTAACAAGCTAACGGTCTACCTATTTTTTTTTGATGGGTGAAAATGGTATGACATCCCCGCCTGCGCTAACGGGATACGCTGGCGGAGCACCAGTGAAGGGTGATAGATGAGAATGAAAACAGGTCAGTTAGCCCATCATGATGAATTCATCAGGTAGCAGTTCAAGCAGCTCCAATAGATGAAGTGATGCTGGAAACATCATCATTATATCGCTGGTGAAGATAGGCCTCCCCTATAAAGGAAGTTTCGCCACAATTGGCAAGCGAGTTGGCAACCGCAGTTACCCTTTGGTGTTTTAACTAGAATACTGCTACCTAATCCTCGATCATTAAATTGCCTTATTCGCTTCTTACAGCACTCACGGGGAAGCAAGGAGTGCCCATTCTATGCCGGGACCACACGGCAAACAATCGTGGTTAATTTTTTGGCAATTTCGCCACGATGGCTGATTTATCCTCAGCCCCTAGCATATATCAATAAGGTAGGTGGGGTGACAATTCCAACTCTTAAAAACTCTAACCATAGATCTGGTATGGAGACAAACTCACCAATCGATATGCCAGCGCCGGTACGAATCGCCTGCAACGCAAGAATCGAAGGCAATATGCGTCATCTATACGCCGTGGATTGCATTCGCCACGCTCTGGAATATGGGGTATAAAAATAAATAAAAAAAAAAAAAATATTCTACAAAAAAAATTATTTTAACGCGGATAAAATTTACATGTATTTTTAATATACAATCGGGACTTAACGCGACGTAAAAGCTTTTACAGGTAAATAGTACCTACAGGGGGGAAATGGATTGTTAGTAATGTAGTCTAATAGCCCCATTGCTAACAATATACTCTCTCAGGTCGACCTCCACGCGGTTTCCCCTGGAAATCATCATGGTTAATTCTTGTCGAATTCATCATGGTGGGCCACCTGACCTGCATTCATTCTCACCTATCATCTTCCACTGATGCCTCGTCGGTGTATACCGATAGCGCGGGCGGGGTTAACATTCCATTTTCACCCATTAAAAAAAATAGTACCTACATACCTGCTTTTTTAATGCTAACATTTCAACGTGCATTGCACCGCGTCGTGGTTACGACAGGACATGGGATTGACATAAAAGTAAATCGCAAATAGATAGCAAAAATAATTTATTAAAATTAGTTCAAAACCGGGGCTAAATCGTGTAACGTAGACTTAATAACGTAAATAAATTTTGCTAAGTAAAAAAATATATAAGAGAATTATGAAAGCGGGCATACTACTAAAATACTACGTGTATTTGATATAAAGTAAGCATAGAAAGAGAATGCCATAGATACTAACGCTTTATCTATGGAAGAAGAGAAGGAAAAAGACGCTCCATCATAGCTCTTATCGTCGCTTACCATCAGGTGAGGTAAGATCAAGCACAAACTCATCTAAGGTAACGAAAGACTAGTTTTTACCTCAATCATCAACATAACTTGGCTACATGGACGAAGTCGCGGGTAAAAACTAGTCTTACCATATACCATAGAGCGCAACTCCTCAATAACTTTATTCCTGGTATCCGGGTGTTCGTTGCAGTGCCTGCGGGCCACATCCTCAAACTCACTGTCCTCGTAACGATTCAGTTCTGCCTCGAAAGCTATGTTCAGGAATATCATTGTTATTCTGAAAATAAAGTGGATTAGTTCAGTTCGACTAATCACTAACCGTTCTCATCGTAGAGATAGTGTTGCCCAACAATCGCTGGGTCTCGACCATTGATCAATACTTCGATTGGGGTCTTAAAAATATATTAATCTTCTTAGTTGTGGTCGGATTTAATAGACAGTTTTTTTTTTTACAACACGGGACAAACGAGCATGTGGCTCACCTGATGGTAACTGACTACCGCCGCCCATGATCACTCAAATACAAACGGCATTACAAGTGTGCTGCCGGCCTTTTAAAAGGAATATACTCTTTTCTTGAAGGTTATGATGTCGTATCGGTTCGGGAATACTGCTCCTTGAAGTTGAGACTACAAAGAGTGGTTGTGCGTGGAAAAAAGTGCCTTGAAAAACGCACAGTTGAAGACGGCAATTCGTCCAGATAGTTGGGATGACACTTAAGTTTATAGCGGGTTATGCGGTGGTGAAAGTCAACAGCAAGTATCAATCCGAACGATTCCTCAGAGCATTCCCCATGATAAATTCGGTAGAAGATGCACAGAGATGCTACATCTCTCCGCAGTTTCAGTGGGTTAAGTCGGACAGTAAGGCGCTGATCATCAATGATTTGAACTGCCCTAATTTGAATGCGGTCTAACGGAAGGAGCTGGTACTATGGTGCTCCTGCCCATAGGTCAGAACAGTATTCTATATGTGGTCTGACTTGAGCTTTATACAATTTCAAGCGGTGTTCCGGCATGAAATACCGTCACACTCTATTAAGCACTCCTATCTTTTTGGAAGCCATCTTAGCCTTTTCCTACAGATGACCGCAAAATTGGACGTCGCAAGATATATCATCTGGATCACATACTTGTATTATGCAGTAATGAAATTACAGTCAAATACATATATTTTTTATTTGTAATTTAATTACTGTTTTTACACAGTCACCTTTAAAGTTACGGAAATAGTAACTTTTTCTAATAAACTATTCTTGGAAATATTTTTGTAACGTAATATTGCCAGCAATAAAAATAAGATTAGCCCCAATTCACAGGAAATTATTTAAATACAGAAATTTTATTGTTATTCTGAAAATAAATTGAACTAGTTCAATTCAATTATTCACCAACCATTCTCATCGTTCAAATAGTGTTGCCAAATAATCACTGGGTATTGATTATCACTACATAGTATAAAACAAAGTCGCTGTCGCTATCTGTCCGTTCCTATATATGTTTAAATCTTTAAACTACACAACGGATTTTGACGCGGTTTTTTTAATAGATATAGTGATTCAAGAGGAAGGTTTATATGTATAATACATGCATAATATTGTAGAGAAACACTAATAAATTTGGAGGTTTCTAATGTGATGTCGTATATAAACACATTTTATTGCGCTTACATTGCAAACGCTGGCTGAATCCTATTAGATAGGTTAAAATAATGTCGGGGGGCAAATAATGCGGCGCTATTTAGTACCAGTATTGCACCCGTGCGAAGCCGGGGCAGGTCGATAGTTAATTGATAAAATAAATAAAATACGATGTTATTGATTCTAATGACATGATTATAATAATTTATATATATATATATATATATATATATATATATATATATATATATATATATATATATATATATATATATATATATATATATATATATATATATATATATATATATATAGATTACGTCGCTGAACGTCTCATAATAATTTCGTGTCGATTGAAACTGGAGACTTGCGATCTAAATTCAAAATTCAGTGTAAAGCATTTTGTCATTCGTCGGTTTACGAATGAAGTAATTTTTTCAGGAAATATGTCCTTTTTTAGCAGAAAAAAATATATATAATAAGATTAAAAAAAGAAGGAATTCGTACAGACACTAAAGGACAGTACCTAAAGTAATATCAGATTTACTGTTTCCAGTGTCGTAAAACACGTTTACGACGATCATAACGGCATCAAACCAGAAAGTTTAGCAACCAAGAAGATAAATTACATTTCATTCTTTCAACTACGGGAAAATATGTTATTAAAAATAATTTTTATTTCTTTTTTCGTCCTGTTTCATTGGTAAAAATGTTAAGTTTTCTTACAAAAGTATCGATTTCTGAATGAATCGATTCGAATTGATATATCTTAGATCGATCTACGAGACAAGGTTTCATAAAAATCGATTACTCTTTCATGTCTATGTATATGGCTAAAAAAAGGAAAATAACCCGGACAAAGATATACAGCAAAATTGACTCTGATCTGTTAATTTTTAGTGATATTTAAATCGATTTCTACTTTAAGATAGGCCCTAGTAGAGCCTGACGCTGTCATTTTCGAGGACCGGTTGAAGGTACAGTACAACAGCATTATTTTTGTTATTATCATTATATCAGTTCTTAACTGTCCACTGCTGAACATAGGCCTTCTCCATAAGGGGAGCTTTGCCATTAGTTGCCACGCTTGGCAGATAGGTTGGCAACCGCAGCTAGGCTTTGGTGAAGTTTTAAGAGTGACGCTGCTGCCTATATCTCGAACATTATGTTGCAATAAATATCCAAAAAGTTAATATATTTGTAGGTAATTGACTCTATGTATATGCTTTATGGCAGTAGATTTCAATGTTGCCCTAATAATAAATTAGACAATAAATATTGTAATAAGAATTGTAGCATTATATCCACTATAATTAGAAGTAATAAAAGTTAGGATTGTAGCGTGTGGATTTTTATTGCAATTAAACGTAACTATGTTTTGTTGAAATTATCACATATCATAATAGAAATAGTATAAGCACATATATATCTAGCAGTTATATATATATATATATATATATATATATATATATATATATATATATATATATATATATATATATATATATATATATATATATATATATATATATATATATATATAATAATTATTTATAATTCATGTAAATATTTATTTTAATTTCTGTTTAGCACTACTACTGCCCACCCACTACTTTCTACGCCACTATGTTAGGTTGACTGGAAGAAATCTCTTTTAGAGATAAGTTCGCCTTTGCTAACATTGTTATTAACTTATTGTTGTTACTGTATGTTTTAGTGCAATAAAGAATATATAATAATATTTTTTTATTAATTCAAATTTCGAATTATCGAATCAGAATTTAATTTGTATTGGCGTATGTTACTGGCAATGGCAATTGACATTCTCAGATAAATTGTTGTACTTTATCCAATATCTCTGATGTCATAAATAGCATGCATCTATAATTCGAAATAATTCAAGCACATATGTTTTGTCAATTTAAATTTTCGAACTATCGAATTAAAATGCCATTTCTATTGACATTTATGACTTGCAATGGACGTGTTGACAGAAGGATCGCTATACTTATTAAATATTTTATTCTTGAACATTTATTGGAATTGTTTGTATCTATTTATAATAAGTTTACTATTGTAATCTTTTGGAGGGAACAATAAAGAGTATCTATCTATCTATCTATCTCTGAACGTACTTACCAAATATACTTGCACTTATAATCCAAAATAATGCGCACACATATTTTTATAACTTCAAATTTCGAACTATTGAATTAACTTTTTATCAGTCTTGATATGTGTGACTTGCAACTAGCAACCGACGCCGGTGCAGTGAACAACGACAGACCGCTGTCGCAATGCATCCAGTGCGCTTACACCACTGCACTTATACTAACGAGTAATTATTGAGATGAAATGATGAAACGCATCGTGGATATGAGAAATATCCAGGTGGAAGTGACACTGATGTGCCAAAATGAAGTCTTATTCGGAGTTGAAATTCTATATAGTTATAAAGATTCTGAATAGTTTGAAGGGTATATTGCTAGTAACAGAGTTGCTAGTTTCGATTACTAATAATCCCTTGTCCCCCTGTCTAATATGTTATAGACTATACATAACATCTGTAACATTAAGCTAATGAAGAATGGTCACGCTCAATAATAGTACATTACTGCACCGGCCAGCAACTGAGGCATTGATGGACGAACGTGCAAATGTGGGCCGAGGCGTAGCCGAGACACACATACAATGCCTAGTCAAGGCTTGTAAAGTACTTTTCTCAAACAATGCGCGGAAATCAAAAACACAATTTTACTTTTTAAGTTCAATGACGAATAACGAACAATGATAATTTTTCACGCGCCATAATGTTCCTTTGTTTTTTTTTCAATAAACAGCTTTCTATTTGCAAGCTAGTTCGAAATTTAAATAAAACCCTTTATTAGTTACCTCCTTGGTAGCCATGTTTCGAAGTAAAAGGTCAAGTTATTTTTAAATTACAGGACAGATGTGAGTTTACATAGTAATTTATCTGGCCGCAAAACACGACAGATATGGATTTTCATATAATTTTTGCCGGCCGTTGCTCGCATGTATCTGGCCAGTACGGCAATTTTTTTATTTATCTCAAAGAAGATTGTCAAAATAATGCTTACATTTCCAAGCATGTTTGAGAAAATATATATTTATCCTAGTCTAGTGACAAAATAGCAATCGACTAATATAGTGATTACTATATGTGGTGAGCTGTCATCGACGCAACACGTGCTGTTCTTGTCTGTGTACTTTAAATTCCAATCCAATATCAAAAGTTGTCAAGGTGCATTAAAAATACTGTTAAAGAAGAATATAGTGTTTTGTTTATCTATTGAAGTGAATATTTCAAAGAAAACAGAAAATAACAGAAGGAATCTAATGTAACAAAACTGCAAAATTTGAGGTTAGAAATAATTATTTTGAAGTGTCACATAATACCAACCTAATAATATACCTGACATTCGTCAGTGTTACTAGAGGTGATATACTTAGTGTTGCCATAACAAATATAAATTTTTATCCATTTACAAACAGATAACAATAATATTATGGATAATTTCGAAGATCTTTTTACTCGAATGAAAATCGAAATGGCAAATCAAACAAAAGAAATTATTTCGCAATTAGATGAAAAATTAATACCTTTTACGCACGATATAGAAAAATTGAAGCTAGAAAATAAAATCTTGAAGGAAAAAATTTCTAACTTAGAAAAATATAAAAGAAAAAATAATCTTATTATTTATGGAATTAAAGAGAACGAAAAAACTGTAACCGATCTCATGGATTTAATTAAACAAAAATTAGGGAATGATTTAAATATCGGCCTAGAACATAGAGATATAGATGCTATCTATCGACTTGGCAAGAAAGATATAAATAATCCGAAAACAAGACCGATATTGATTTCATTTGTCAATGGTTGGATTAAAAATGAAATAATGATGAATAAAAAGAAACTTAAAGATGCATATGTTTCTGATGACTACCCCAAGGAGGTTCTTGATACAAGGAAAGAATTACAAAAGAAACTTTCCGATGAAAGGAACAAAGGAAACTATGCAGTTATAAAATATGATAAACTGATTATTAAAGAAAAGTCATTCTCTGTAGAAAAAAGGAAAAGGGAAATATCAACTTCTCCAAAGCCCCAACAACGAAAGCAGTACGTCGCGTCCAAAACAAACAAAATAAATGCATATGACGTAATGAGAGGAAGAAGTAACTCTTTTACATCTTACAACTCTGCATTTAAAGAAAATAGCTAGGATAAAGTCATCAGTCACCGCAACAGTATACCGTATATTAATAAAACTAATACAAGCAAAACATTTCCCAAGCCGACTGGTCCTCGTGGGAAATTAGACCATCACCCTTCATCTACAAATATAAACATAAGAAATAGATTAAAAAATGATAAAAGAAGATATCTAAACATATGCACATATAATGTGAGATCATTGTCATCAATAGAAAGATACTTACAACTAACATATGCTCTCAGAAATATAAACTTTGATATAATAGGGCTATCTGAAGTTAGAAAAATGGGTTGTAATATTGAAGAATACCAAGATTATATTTTATGTTATATTGGACAATCAAAAGGTTTATATGGAGTTGGATTTTTAATAAAGAAATCATTGAAAAACAACATAGTTAGTTTTACTGGTGTCTCTGAAAGAATAGCGCTACTTCAATTAAAATTCGAAGATTGGAATATATCAATAATTCAGGTATATGCACCAACAGAGAGTAGTACAGAAATAGAAATTGAAAAATTTTATAAAGAACTTGAGAAAGCACATACTTTAACTAATAACAAACTGATTGTAATCGGAGACTTTAATGCTAAAATAGGATATCCTAAGAAAGAAGAAAACATCATTATGGGCAAATATGGATACGGAAAAAGAAATAAACAAGGCGAACGACTAATAGAATACGCTCTCGAATATAAACTATCGATAACAAATACATTTTTTAAGAAAAAACCGTCCAAAAAATGGACTTGGCAATCACCAGATGAAAAAGTAAAAAATGAAATAGATTTTATATTGACGAATATGCCAAAACTAGTAACTGATTGCGAAGTTATAAATAATATAGAATTTCCATCTGATCACAGACTTGTAAGAACAACTTTACAATTAATATTACCGAAAAAAAGCAGAATTAAATTTAATAATATACCAAGGATTCCCGAAACAGAAATGGAGATAACAAATTTCAGGAACTATCTGAATTCTCGTATTGAAGCAAAAATAGAAGGAATCACAAATGTCCAAAATTACTATGATGTAATAGGAGAAGCAATATTATATAGTTCAACGATCAATACAAATAGTAGAGTTAAAGAGAACAGAAATAAAATATTCAGTGAAAATTCCAAGTCCCTAATAAAACGAAGAACAGAATTGGCATTTACAAAAAATAAAACAAAAGACATGAAAGTAGAATTAAGCCAACTGTATAAAGAAACAAAAAAGTCAATTAGGAAAGACTATAGTGATTATAGACAAAAAATAATTAAGAAAAATTTAAAAAAATATAAAAGCACTAAACGAGCTTTTAAAGAACTAAACCTGCATAATACATGGATACAAAGGCTAGGTAACAAATCCAATACAATAGTATCCAGAGACGATATATTAGTCCAAGCAACAAATTTTTATAAGGAACTTTATACAAAAAAGGACGAAGAATTTAAAGTAGAACAAGAAATAAAGTGCACTAGTAAAATAAAAACTATCGATGTAATACACGAAAATGAAATATATGAAAGAATAAAACAACTAAAATCTGATAAAAGCCCTGGTCCAGACAGAATAAGCAATGAAATTGTGAAAATTAGCACACCTGTTCTACTTAAATACCTTACACAGCTTTTCAACATGATATTAGATACTGAAATAGTACCAAAACAATGGTGTATGTCAGATATCGTATTATTGTATAAAAAGGGCAATCCATTAGATATAGCAAATTATAGGCCAATTAGCTTACTTGTGAGTATATACAAACTCTTCTCATCTATAATATTAAGACGAATAACAAAAGAAATTGATAAAGCACAACCGATAGAACAAGCCGGTTTTCGTTCAGGATTTAGCACAATAGACCATATACAAACATTAGAACAAGTAATAGAAAAATACAATGAATTTAATAGACCTTTATACCTAGCATTTATAGATTATAATACATGCTCTACGTATAAAATGGCAATGGGCGGGTCACATCTCACGATTTACTGATAATAGATGGACGTTTCAAAGTACGAAATGGACAGGACCACGAGGTAAGAGGAACGTTGGTAGACCAATAAGACGGTGGACTGATGATATATTAGAATATACAGGAAAAGACTGGTTTATGATAGGCAGAAACAGAGAGTTGTGGAGAAAGATGGAGGAGGCCTTCACCCAAAGAGGGGTCCATATCCAAGAATCGAAGAAAAAATTACACTAACAATTAGTTATTAAGAAAAAATATAAAATAGATTAGATACTAACAACACTGTATATATATTAGGAATATGGAAATAAATAAAAGGCTTTATTATTATTATTATTTTTTAAATTTCACTAAAATTCTCATCTCCCCTCTTAAGGAGAGGAGATGGCAACTAACCCCCGGCAGAAGCACAGTCGGCCGGGGTTCAGGGCCCCAGGGAGAGAAACCGGCGTACAATGCGGGCAGAATCTAAGAGCACCGCTTTCTGCATCTTTCCCGGAAGTGAACCGCCTCTGAATCCCAACCGTCTGAGATGTTGTTCGAGACTGGTTGGGATAAGACCGTTCACCGACATAACGATTGGGATGATTTCGGTAGATGTCACCCCCCACATTTCGGTCACCTCGTGAGCCAGGTCGAGATATTTTCTCTTCTTCTCGGTTTCGGCTTTCACGAGGTTCTCGTCATGCGGTATGGTGACATCCACCAAAAACACCCTCGAGAGTGCCCGATCCATCACCACGATATCAGGTTTGTTCGCAAGAACGGTCCTGTCCGTGATGATGGATCGGTCCCAGTAGAGCCTTACGCTGTCGCTTTCGAAGACCGGCTGGGGCTCATACTTATAGTACGGCAACCTCTCATTCGCGAGGCCGTACTTCAGAGCTAGCTCTTGATGGAGTATTTTGGCTACCTGGTTGTGTCTGTGCAAGTACTCAGTGTTGGCAAGAGCTGAACAACCCGAAAGCACATGTCTGAGTGACTCTCCGGGATGGCGACATGCTCGACAGATGTCCTCAGTGCCATCCTTCAGAATGTGCTTTCGGTAATTGTTCGTCTTAACCACCTGATCCT